AGGTATTAATTCCTGAGCTTTGAAAGGATAAAGAGCTCTGTAATAACTCTGTCCCTGTTTATATTAAGGTTCTCCTAGATCTCTAGCCATAGAAGGTCCCTGATATTAATAATATTAATAATTTTAATTAAAGTTTATAATAGAATGGCGGGGTCGTAATAGGCTTTGCTTCGCCATAGGCTATAGGTATGACTTACTTAGTATATCTTCCTCTGAGAAGTGTGTATACCAAGTCCTGAGATCGAGGGCAAATAGAGGGTACTAGATGGGGAGAATTCGGGTTTTCGGGACCGAAGAGGTATTATACAGGTCTGCGGGTATGTAGGAGGGACGGAAAAGGCTTCTGGTTAATGCGGATTAACGGATAGGGTGGGTGCGGATATAAAGTATATGGTTGCTACCGTATCGATTTGGGCCCCGAAGATCAGAGGGGCTATTAAGGACGGATTAGAGGGTATAGGAGCTTGACTGCGAATCCAAGGAGATCTGCGAGGTGACATAATCGTATCCCTGCGTCGCTTACCAGAAAGTCAAGGATGAGGAATTAGAGGGAAGGATGGTGGTTCTATTCAGTGAGGCGAAGCCCGGCTATGTACACCCAGCTTAGTAATCCATGTTGAGGGGCACAGCGGTTTGTGGATCACACCCCAAACTGCCTTAATGCCAATAGCTACGGCGAGAATATTCTTTAAAAATGGGTCGGCAAACCGAAGGATCCGGAACCCTACTAATAAGGGTCGTCAGCATAAGAAAATTTAGATTGCTCGGCTTTGGTTTCAACTTCTCAAGACCCACCCTCTTCTATAAGGCTGGATGATAATTCAATCAAAGTCCCTGGAGCTCCGCGGGAAAGATCACATTTCATAGATTTTATTTCTTTTCCTGTCCAACTTTTACTCGTTTATTAAAGGATATCTCTTATAATCGTTGAAATTGGTAAGATTGGGGGGCCTAACTCCAAAGTGGATGCTCGTAAAAGCAGGGTGGGGGTATTTGATGCACCAATGTGGCAAGTGAACAATCCTTCTGTGGTGTCATGCATAAATAGCTACAAGGGCTAGGATAACTGTACAACAACCGTGCCCATATCGGGACAGCTGCGGTGTATATAAGGATCGGATCGACCCCCCTTCTCTTTAATGATTGTTAATACAGACCTCCTAAACGGCGATTATCTCTGCACATGTGACAAGTGGTGCCTTTGAAACATTACATTGAATTGAAAGCAAACTTCATCTTTCTTCTTTACCCAAAATTTGTTTTTATATAAACCCGAGCTGTAATTCTGTCTATACACACCCGCGACAAGGTTCAGGATGGCCATCGTCGAGACACTCACAAGTAACGCGACCGCAATTGCGACGGCGTTAGTTGGCGGTGCGCTTCTCCTCTTATGGCGCCTCTCTAATGTGCAGCTCGATGCACGAGAGCCGCCAGTCTTGAAACCCACAATTCCTATTATCGGCCATGTGTTGGATATGGTCACGTTGTCACATGCCTTCTTTACGAAGACCTAGTATGTGATAGACTCTCGTGGTATCTCTTGCTGTCACTAGATTGAAGACTGACACGTCTCAGCAAACAAGCCGAAGGCAAAGAAGCTTATACGCTTCCCATGATGGGTGGGAAAGTCTATTTCGTAGCTTCGCCTGAATTAGTCAATGCGATGATCAAGTCGCGATCCCTGAGCTTCGACCCTGTTCTTCGTGACACAATTGCCAAGCTCTTCACAATTTCGAAGGCAGGGGTACGCAAATACGTGGATCCAAGTACTGGCTTGGAGGCGCGTTGGACCAAGAACTTCTACGGCTGCTTGAATGGGGTTGAACTCAAGGAGATTAATAAAGCTGTGCTTACCGACTTATTCCGTCAGCTCGACGAATTGCCGGACGAAGTCAATGTAGAGGACAGTTGGTTGTGGCTCCGCGACAAACTATCGTTCGCTTCTACCACAGCGATGTTGGGGAGAGATAACCCATTCTGTGCCCACCCTTCGCTCGTCGACGATTATTGGTACGTCGACAGCAAACTGGTGCATTTCGCTTTGGGTCCAGCACCTTGGATGACTGCACCCAGTGCATGGATGGCCCGTAATCGCATTCATCGTGCCCTTATCAAGTACACAAAGGAGAAGAAGCACGAGGCGGATGACGTCTCGGCGCTTTGGAGAGGCTCGTACGATCTTCTTCACGAGTTCGGATTCTCGGAAAGCGACATAGCAGCCTTTCTCCAAGCAACGCTCCAGGCCGCGCTTTTCAACACAATCCCTACATTCAATTGGTATTTTGTTCACATCTGGAGTGATCCGTCGCTGGTGTTTCGGTTACGAGAGGAGGTATCGGGCGTTGTTGCGGAAAGCCCGGAGCGACGCGGCGACGGGAAGCGCGAGATGACGATGAATGTGGCGAAACTCGAGGAGCGTTGCCCGCTCCTTGTCGCTGCTTTCCACGAGAACTTGCGTACAGTCGCAGTTGGGGCTTTCAACCGCGTGGTTATGGAAGACACTATCATTTCCAACGGAAAAGGTGGTCAGGAGTACCTCCTGAAGAAAGGTACTACTTTGATGGCTTCGCAAAGTGTCCTCCATGTCTCGAAGGAACATTGGGGGTCCCAGGCCGGTAATTTCGATCCGACGAGATTTATCAAGGGCGCTGGTGTGCTTGGAGAATTAGAATCGCCCATAAAGCCGGGCACCTACGTGCCTTTCGGCGGCGGGAAACATCTTTGTCCAGGCCGACATTTCGCCTCCATGGAGATTTGGGGAATGATGATTGCTTTGTTGCTCAGTTTCGACATTACTGACGCGGAAGGGAGAACGCTAACCGTTCCGGAAAGAACGATGCCAACAATGACATCTGGTATTGGTAGACCAGTCGCTGGAGCTGATTTGCGCCTGAAATTATCGCGACGAAAAGACTGGAATAATATCACTTGGAAAGTTGTTATGGCCTAAGCCCCAAAGAACTTAACAACCTGGGGATTCCGCTAGATCCATCATGTGAGGGTCTGCTGCTCGTGGCCCCGGTAAAAGATTAACCAGCTGATAGTGACCTGTGTAGCCGTATTAGATCATATAATAATTCAGATGGGTACCGGTGTTTCGATCGGATACCTTCAGACTGTGACGGCTGGCGTAAGGGCATGATCTGCCAAGGACAGGATATCGGAAACAGGCACAAAACGAAGCTAAGCCGGAATTGCTTGGACGGAACAATACTAAAGGTCGAGGCATCCTCCCTACTTTGTTCCATAGCTTAGTATTTTCCAATACATGAGATTCTTTGAACTTTGAGCTTTCGACCATTGCATTGATCCCGCCGTCACACTGACCACCCTTAATTATCAGCATAGCTTAGGGTGGGATAGGGTGTAAATTAATGTGCCTATATAGCTAATCTGCCTGAATGCTGTCTATACTAAAGAAATTGACTATAAGAAAACTGAAGCTATATGAGTGTGTGGAGAGTCTATATAAAGGAAACTAAAGAAATTGTCAACTTCAAACATTATATCAAGCTATATATAGCTTAGTGGGTGAAAGACTATAAGAAATGAGATGGTAGCTATCGAGGTAGGGGTTCAATTTGGGGTTGTTTTGAAAAAGGGGTTATTTGGGTTTATAGGCTGGTTGGCGAGGTAAGGTGTAAGGTGTTCGGTGGCTAAGTCCTAGCCGTACGTCGAGGAAGCACGTTGACGATCGAAGCTGCAGCGTGCGCTCTAGTCTTCGTTAGCGTAAGGCCAATCGAAGTGTCTAGCCAGTCCGCAGAGGGCCCTATCAGTTTCTGAAGCTCTTTATAGTGCTTCGCTGATTCCACGGCCATAAGGCCTCCTGCCGAAAAAATCAGAGGTCTAATAAAAGACCCTACTGTTTTGTACTTCCTGGCTTTGCTATCGTACGCCTCTTGAAGCGTGGCCTGAAAGTCCTCTCTAGCTGATTCTTTCGAAATGGCTACAATTTATATATCGTAATAAAATCTGGAATTGCCGATCAGAATACTAAAATCGGCCCGTAATTGGCCTTCGATTAAAGGCTCTTTTTCGGCGTATAGTGCAGGCTTGTTGGCGAGGGCTTTAAAGGTGGCCCGGTTAATAAGATCGTGTCGGATGGCTCAGGCGGTGGCGATACCGCTGAAGGCTCCAACGGCGGTGGCTCTGGCTGTGGAGCAGCTCCCTCGGGCACTGAGGCTGCATCAGGTGGTGCCGTCTCGGCTGCAGAGTCTAAGCAGGACACCAATGGTGGAGATGCTTGGGGAGCTGGTGGATCGGGCTGGTAAGTGGTCGGAAGTGATGTCCCAACCCTTGGTTCGCAGCGACCACCAGGTCACAACCTGCATTAACGCGACACGGTATTTTCGGTTTGCCTCTAGAAAATTGGGGGTGCTCAGGAGTAATAGAGGTGAAAAGTGGATGGATGCTCTTTCATCACCATGACAGGTCTGGCAATAGGCTTTCTCGACGGCAGTGTCCAGGGCCAGATGTCTAGTCAGATAGCCAGACAGATTAGTGGGCGTCTCTCTGCATATGAACAATGACATGAGATCAGATAGTTTCTTGTGGTCTGGTTTGTGAGGATGCGTGATTTATCCCTCTACTAAGATTACTCTGAGATGATGATACCCAGACATGTACTGATTCATCTTTCCTGAAAGCTTCAATAGGCGAAAGAAAAGATGACGCATGACTCTATATGAGACTTGGCTATCATTTCTTCGTTTGATTCGGAATACTTTTGTGTCCATGGCTTAGAGGAATTCTCGAAACCAGTCTTGTTGTCAGTACAGACATGGGCTGCCCGCTTACTTGATAAAAATCCAGGTGTAACTGTAGGAGCCCATGGATGGAGGTTTAGCGTGGCTGAACACGAAGTTACAAATGGCAGGGGACCTGGGCAACCGTCATAGACAAGGAAGACATGTTAGGTACGGAACCTGCAGCTCTTGAGTCATACGGAACGGATACTGTTCTTATTGTCTCTCTGGTAGAAATAATTCACAGCCGTGATATACCTACTTCACCTATTACAGCTTTGCCCGCCTCTGGCCACTTCTGCGCCCTGGCGACTAGCTGTTCTTTATTATTTCTAGTAGCCCCTTCCCCTTCCTCGCCGTGCTAATGCCATAACCGAGCTCCACAACGCCCTTGGCAAATTGCCAGCTGCGGTGCTGGCTCCTAACCGGGTAGCGGATGGCTGGTGGTATGCCCGTCCTGATGCCCAGCCAGCCAAAACGGTCCTCGTATATACTCTTGACGTTACAGACACCCCTGAGCCCCTCCTCGCCGGCAAAACGGCCGTAACCGGAGCCTCCGACGCCCCCGAACGGCATCTGCGCTGCGTAGTATGTGGCAAAGTCATTCACGGCCACCATGCCGGCCTTGAGACCACGGACGACAGCCTTGAGGACAGGATCGGAGTCGCGGCCGAAGACGGAGCTGCCGAGCCCGAAGTTGGGGGCGTTCGCCATCTTCAGTATTGCCTCTGCCTCTGCCTCGGGCGAGGAGAAGTTGCCATTTTCGGCTCTCATTAGGATCAGAATGGGGCCGAAGCACTCCTCATTGGCAATTTCCATCTCAGGAGTGACGTCTACGATGAGAGTGGGTAAAAAGTAATGGCCTCTGGGGCAGTCGGGATGTATATGCCGTTTTGCGCCAGCAAGTACATGTGCTCCGTGGAGGATGGCATCGCCGATGAGAGACTCGAGCTTGGCAAAAGACGAGTCGGAGATCATGGCACCCATATCTCCATCCGGGCCGAGACGGAGGTCCTTGACGCGGTCTGTAAGGAGTGGAATTAACTGATCGTAGACGGCTGGGGCGGCAATAACCCGCTCGGCGCCGATGCAGTTCTGTCCGCTTGACTGAAAGGTGGCGCGGAGGAGCACCTCAACGATGGATTTGACATTTGGGAGGGCGGATTGTAACAGGATGAAATGGTCCTTGCCGCCGAGTTCGGCGCAGACAGGTATCAAGGCCTTGGCTGCTGAGGCAGCTACCTTCTGAGCTACTGCCTGAGAGCCTATAAAGGTAATGTGCGATATAGCCGGGTGACTGGTGATGTAGGCGGCTGTCTGGGGCCAGCACACTATTGTCTGTATCAAGCCAGGATCGTGACCATGGGCTACGAGCGCTCCCCGTGCAATGCTAGCGAAATAGTGTGCACTCCAAGCTGTCTGCTCGGAAGCCTTGGTCAATATGCCATTGCCGGCAAAGATGGCCGAGATTATTGGGGCCAAGAGATTATGGAAAGGATAGTTCCAGCTAACCAAGGCGGCGACGACTCCCAGCGGCTCATAGATGACTATATTCCGCTTATGCGACAAGAGCAGGTTGGTGGGCCGTCTCGATGGTGCCAGAGCCCTCTCGCCGTGTTTGATTGTCCACTGCAGCTTCTCAGCCGTGACTAGGATCTCGCCCATCTGAGCGTCCACCATGTTCTTGCCCGAGTTCAGACATGCCACCTTGCAGGTCATCTCCTGGTTATCTAGCACGTGCTGCAGCATGCTCCGAAGGACAGCCCGTCTCTCGCGGAAGCTCGTAGCAGCCCATTTCTTCTGTGCCGTGGCGGCCTGCTCGATAGCCCGGTCAACGGCGGCGGGGGTCGAGGGGTTGATAAGACCGAGGAATTCTCCTGTTGTTGGGTTGTAGCACTGGATGGCCGAGGTCCCGGACGTCTAGAGAGAAGAGAGCAGGCTGTTAGGGCAAAATTCTGGATAATGAGAGAAATTGGCTATGAGTACCCTCACACTCGGCTGCTCTAATATTTCTTCCCTTTCGGGCAGCTTGGGACCAGAAACAGAATACAGTCGTGGCTTGTCGAGGGGACGGTAGGTTCGATACAGTGCAGCAGCCCCGAGGGCAGTCCAGAGGGCCGCCCATACGTAGTGGGCGACTTCAATTGGCCTGGATCAGGGTCAACATGGACCGGGTCGAGGAGGGTGACAAGAGTTCCTTACAGCCATTGTTGGAGGGCCAGTTCGGCTTGGTTAAGCCAGTCCTCCAAGAGCTGCAAGGCCATTCTGCTGGGATTGACACCCAGATCTGCCTCAATCTGTTTCAATTGAAGGAATGGCGAGCTGCTGTGAGCAAGACCCGAGGTCGAAGAGAATTATTTCACTAGAGGCCTGGAGGGGAGCTCTTGGAGTGGAGCGGCAGCTGGAGCGGGAGCGGGAGCGGGAGCGGGAGAGCTGTTGAGCATGACAGCTTTGTCCCTCGCCCGGTCTTGGCATTTTTGCGGCGCATGTCAAGGGTCCTCAGCTGCTTTCCTACAAGGAAGGGTATTGATTGCCAATGATGGGGGGCATTGGCGTAAATACACGGTTCGCTACATGACAGGCTTAATAGGGCATTGATAGTCGATGAGAAAAGGGGAATACAGTAGTCATCAGCGGCACGCCTTGTAGATAACGATTTCATCTTCTTCTCCGAGTTGACCGTTATTACATGTATCTGGTATGCTTCGACTAATGTACAGCCCGCAGGTCATGCAAAATCGCCATGCCAAAAAAGCCACAGCTGCCCGCTTTGCCCTCGCCGTCTTCCATTTCCCTCTTTTCTGAACGCCGTTGTGGTAGAAGCCCTAATTCTTAAAACAACAATGCCAACACAGAGACCAATCTCTGTCGAAGCAAACCAAATTAGGTCTTGCTGTGAGGCTGCACCGAGACCACCTAGTCTCGCTAGATACTGCATCATGACTCCCCAACCTCTCCTCCCCTTCCTCTTCTCGCCCTTCTAAGTCGGTTGGCTGGATGCAGATAAACTTCCAATAAGAAAGGGGGAAATAAAAGCCATAAAATCATGTAGAGTTCCTATTCCGAAACGCCGGCTGATGTGTGACGAACTGGCCCTCTCCACTAGGCCCAGAACGCCCGATAGAGAGAGAAAAAACAATAACGTGATGAGACAGAGGACACAGGCCCACGATAGCCGCTTCTCGCCTCCTCAGGTTCGTAGATCGCTCATGCAGATCGTCAGGTGCATGAAAGATCGGGGATATCAACATAACGACAACAATGAAAGACCCAGGATAGGGGATAGTCTATGTTACAGTGACGGAGTGATTAAGGAGAACTGCGCAGTTGTGAATGGTGTCCGTAGTCGCCGCGACCCATCAGTGTCTGCTCTTGTTGGATATAATGGGGAGGCCTCGAAGCCGCCCCTGCATGAAACCTCGACTGCTGTTGGCCGCCGCACGGTTGCGCGAGTTGTTCGCAGAGTGCGACGACTCGATCCTGGTGAGTCGTGCCGCTGTGGTAAAGTCGTGGCTAGCTTCGTAGCTCGCCCGCACTCGATCCATCGAGACCCTAATTCGATCATACGACGGCCTGGCCCTGTCTATCGACGTTCGAACCGGCATCTCCACCGATGGCGCATCGTGATGCGTGGAGTTGGTTCCGTCGCTGCCGTTCTGTGTCCGCGTATTATGCGTCGCAACTGACGGCGGATAGATCGGTCGCCTGTCTTCGTCCACGCTGGGATATTGCGCGTGCTTGCCCTTCTTGGACGAATCCGATGACCCCGAGGCTGTGCCCTCTAGTCCCTTCTCCTCCGCTTCCTTGGCCGGATGGAGGCGGTCGAATTTTCCTTGCTGTACCTGCTCCCTGATGATGTCGACGTCGTACGGCCAATACACCTTCTGCAGCGCCTTGATCGCATATCGAGGGAGTATGCATACGACTGGCGTAATGAGCATGACTGCCCAGAACGATAGCTGCCCGTAGACTTGTGGCGCCGCCTGATAAAAGGCTGCCCCAGACATATTGGATCCGTAGACGGCCGTCCAGAAGAAGATGAACAGATCACTGACGGCGATGACCAGAAGCATCAGCCAGTCCCACCGGTACAAGTTGATGAGGATGTACAGGTTGATGGTAAACACGGCCGGGTGAGCAATATAACAACCAAGGCGTGTTCGCTCCGCCACATCCAAACCGTTGACGGAAGCAAACGGGCCGCCAGTGATGGTAAGGTACGGAATAAAGAAGCACATGATGGATTGGTAGAAGCCGTCAACCATGTAGAGCCTGTCCCCATTTTTAGTGCACTGAAATATACCAAATAGTCACGGGGTTGGTGCTTACCAGAACTTTCTTCGAGTCCACTCCAGCCTCTCGATGCCGCGGCGATATAGCTGAGGCACGGCTAGCGAGACAGTGTCCGAGACGTCCTGATCAAAAACGCCCATAAGGACGACCGGGACTGAGGTGAAGAGCAGATTAATGAGGATGATATAGGTATAGTCGAAGACGTAAGTGATGTCAAAGTTACAGAAGACTTGAAACCAAAAGAGTGTGAACACCCAAATAATGTTCTTATAGAAGAAATTGCTGATGGTTTCGGCCAGTCTTCGATAGGACCATCTACCGTGAACCAGTATCAGTCTCTGGAGGAATCGGAACTGGCCGATGGCGTAGTCGGACGACATGACGGCCTGGCGACCCTCAACTCCCGCGATACCGACACCCACATCTGCCTCCTGGATCATGGCAACGTCGTTTGCACCATCTCCCACCGACAGAGTCATGACGTCAAGACCTGTCTTCACCATGGCGCAGACAGCGGCTTTCTGGGCCGGACTGACGCGGCAGCACAGAACCGACTTGCACTGCTTGCAGAGGAGGAGGAATTTCTGCTTCAGCTCGTCACGCAGTGCCCACCTGAGGGTGAAACCGTCGATGACCAAGCCATGCGTCGGGCCTGGTGGCTCGTGATTATGTCGGGCTTCCGCTAGGTCTTGGTCACTCCCTGTGAGGTTGAACACCGCTAGGTGCTTGTCAAGCTCAGCCCGTATCAGGCCAATGAATTCCTCGTCCGGAGTGTTACCGTTCTCATCCTCTTCGACCCGAAGACGAATGAGCTCCATGTCGTTGTTCAGGAGGTTACACGAAAATCCGATGTTGATGGCCGTCTCCACTTTGTCGCCGGTTAACACCCAGAGTTTGATGCCTGCGTCGCCTAGTAGTGCGATGGTATCCGGAACTCCGTCTTGTAGTCGGTCCTCGATGGCTGTTCCACCTAAGAGTGTCAGTTCTTGCTCTATCAAGTCGGCTGCCTGCTCCAGTTTCTCCTCGCGCTCTTCAAGTGCTGTGGCGGCAGCATCGTGTATCTTACGCCAGTCGTAGTATTCTTCTTCGTCGTCCAATACCCGCTCTGCAATGCAGAGGGTCCGGAGACCTTCTCTGGCAAACATTTCGAGATGCTCAGCGGTTCTCTTACGCAGCTCAGCTTGCTCTCCCCGCCTCAGCCGTGAGTAGATGACGCTGTCTGCACCCTTACAGAAGAGTATAATCTTGCCGTCTGGCATCCTGACAATAGCACTCATACGCTTACGGGACGAATTGAACTCGATTACGTTCAAGATGGGGTAGTGCTTCTCCTCGCCCATGACGTTCAGATTTACGCCCTCGCTAGTGTTTCCGAGAACTGTGAAGCCCATGTCACGGGCTGTTGCGACGAGTGCGGCCTCGTCCGGTGACTGTGCCTTGAATGTCATCCTTGGCACGTCTCCTGGGACCTTGTCAGCGATGACTGTGTGGCAGAGCGCAAGTGCCAGCATGAATCGTTCGGTAGCGTGCTGCTGTTCAGGCCCGTGCTTTCCGGAGAGGTCCTCCACGAAGTCCGGGGCAATAAAGGTCAGGTCTTCATCATGCAGATAAGGGTTGGCGTAAAGCTCCCGAAGATCCTTGAGCACCTTTACTTTAGCCTCGGCGATCTCAGCTCTTGCCAATTCACCTTCCTTTTCCACATCAATTCCCAGCCGCTTCTGCATTCCAGCCTGGGCCTCGGTGTACGCCTCGCCATAGGGCTGCCCGTTTATAGTTGCTTTCTTGAACTCCATGACGTTCTGGGTCAGGGTCCCCGTCTTATCGGAAAAGATGTACTCAATTTGACCCAAGTCGTCGGATAAATTCCATGACTTCGGTACGCACGGCTGCCCGATCGGATCATACCACATCTCTACATCGCTGTAGATGAAAACGGCCTGAAGAGTTCGCACGATCTCGACCGAGATATAGAGCGATAATGGAACCAAGTTCTGGAAGAGGATCATGGACGCCCAGAATGTGGTGAACCCACTCATGCCTGGTGATCCTCCAATAGACCCGAAGTCGAAATAATGCAGTGATGCATCGTTCTGTCCCCAGGCGACGCCGTTAGCGACGGCGGCAATAAGGCACATGATGAACAGGACGCCAAAGTTACAGATGACGTTGAAGTTTAGCTCCCTGGAGATGCGAGCCCGCTTACTAGGGGTTATCCCTGCGTTCATCATGGTCTTCGTGTCGTGACCAGTGAATATGACGATGCCGAGAGCCCATTCCGTATTTCTCAGATTGCAGCCTCGTAAGAGGACGTTATCGATCGTGACAGGTTCTGACATCTCATGCGATTGGCCTGCGATCTTCTGATTCCACTTGATGGCGGCATTATACTTGTAGAGGTTAGGTTGTGGTGCTTCACTTTCGATCCGGAACTGTGCTCTTTCACAATCCTTCGCATGTTTGAGAGATCGCCCACAGCGAAGAGCCTGCCGGTACTTCAGGTTGGTCTCCCCATCCAGGTTTTTGGTCTCGATGTAGCAGGCGCCTTCGGGATCCGAGCTCGCCAGGATGATAACATCAGCGGGGAACTCGTCATCATTATATATTCGCACAAAGTCACCGACTTGGAGGTCTTTCCACGCACTCCGATGGAAGCGTGCTTTGCCTGGGGCTTGAATGTCATAGTTGATCAAGTCTGTCTTGACTGTTCGTATGTTGACCTCGCTGGGCTGGAAGGAAAAGGCCGAGGTTGGCCGCTCCCGGGGGTCCTGGAGCTGAGGCTGCGGCTGAAGCTGGTCCGGCCGAGGATGTGGAGACGGAACTGGCGTCATCTGGATATTTTCACGGGCCGAAACAAACGACGTTCTCTCCGTGTAGGGGGATATGATAGATTCCGGACGAGTCCTTGTCGTCTCGATCGACGCGCGGGGACCATCATGCCCGATGCCGGTTGCCCCCTTGCCCTTGTTTTTCCTCTTCCACAAGCTCTCGATGGAATGCCAAATGATGTCTAGAAATCTTGAGGTAGCTTTCTTCGTCTTTCTCCAACTCGATACGTTGTCTTCCTTCACATTGACGTTATCCCAGCCGCACAGCCGATAAACTGGGGAGTTGTTGAGCTGTTTATCCGAGATGGTCCGCCGCCGATCCTCGATAGCATCTCTGACTGCTGTGACTGCAATGATGAATATCAGAGGAGCAGAGTTGAGGCCGGGATTGTTAACGCCGAATATAGGGAAGCACTAGTCCAAGGCTGTCAGCTTCTCGTTGTTTGTGGGGAGACCCATTCACATCAGAACGAACTTACAGCAATTACAGTGATGAACAAGAAGAAGATATTGGCCACGTTGTGGAATTGGAAGTACAGATTCTTGGGTATAAAGGACAGCGGCGTGTATTTCGCTGTGCGGATCTTGTTTCGCGCGTATGTTTGCGCCGGTTCACCATCCTCGTCCTTCAAGTCGTCAGGGAGCGGCAGGTTGAAATATAGAGTCCTGGGCCCGGGCCCGGAATCCTCGGTCTCCTCTTCTTCTGGGCCGCCATGGTCTTGATTTGGCTGCCGTAGTGACTCGGAGCCTCCAGACGCCTTCTTGTTCTCGTTGGAGTGTCTTGTGTTGTGCGTGCGGCCCAGGAGCGACAGCCGCTTGACCTTGCTGCTCTTGACCGTCAGCTTGCGCGTTGCCCATCTTGACCGTTTCGTCTTGTTGATAGGCCTGTTTCCGTGGCTGCCGTCGCTCTGGTCGCCCTCGTTTGCAGGCGTTGCCATGGTATGTGAGGTTGCGGGCAGAGCACGGTCAACCCGAGAGGTCCGCCAGATTGACCTTCGCTGGCCGAATCGCTACCTCCGCCCACCCAGTAATTTGTAGTACACACGAGCCAGATTGAACTGCGGTTCGTGTCAATTGGGGTCGGATGAAAGCCGGTGGATGAGTGCAGGCTTAAAAGGGCGGTCCGCGTCGTCGTACGCGAGGCGAATAAGTATCGTGGTGGCAGCTGAGAGCGATTTCTCACTTTTCTGGGTAAGCTGGATGAGGCCGAGCAGATGTACCAGCGGGCGCTGCAAGGCAAAGAGAAGGCCTGGGGTCCGGAGCACATGTCGACGCTCTCTACATTCAACAACCTAGGGATCCTCTATGCCAAGCAAAGCAGGCTGGCTAAAGCTGAGTGTTACGGCTGTGCATACGCCCATACAGGGGCTATAATAGGATCCTGGAGGATTGTAGGTGTGCAGGTACCGGCCTGCGACGACTCAACACCTCCTCGTGGTGCAGGCTGTCAACCTATGCTCTCTGGAGTATAGGGCCAAGATTGAGTCACGAGCAAATGCAGGGAGATTTTCCTTTACCGCCCGATCCGGTTTCACGCAAGCCAGCGGTATAGCGCCTCTACAGGAGCTCAAACTTCTACTCGACGAGACTCACGATTACGATATCGACTCCGATTCTTCCTCTCTCGCTCGATCTACTATATACTTGGGGGAGATGTATCTACGGGAACGGCGAGGGAAATCGAGGTGGACACCGTGGCCTTTCCGACTCTCTCAACTCACTCTCGGACTAGCTATATGGTGGAGGAATCCTCCTGCAGAGGCAGGCCCAAGGACTCGGTATTTCTACGGATATAAGGAGGAGTATAGGGTATTGAGAGGACAAGGGGAGGGGTCGGGCTTGGATATCTGGGTTGTGGGAGGACTTGGGTAGCAGCATACAAGAGGGGCGTCATCCCATCTGTCGGGGAAGGTTAGCTCTCGCAAGTCCTTATGGCCATACGGAGGTACAGCTGGTATGTTTTGGCCCCTGTTTTTTGCAGGGGTCGCAGCTCTTCCTAGCAATGCCACTACAACAATTGAAAATTTCTGAGAAACATGTATCCTTACATTTACCTAGTCTTAAAGATCATATACGTGTTTTTACAATTATTTTTCGTCCAAAATTACAAGAGTTGTCTGGTGTTGAAGTTGCACCCCCCCTGTCGACAGGGGCCAAAACATACCAGCTGCACCATCGTACGCTATTACAGTACGAACTGCTTTCTTGAAGGTTTACAAGGGCACTGAAACACCGCGGGATAAGGGACCCGGGGCTACCAGGAGAAGGGAGGCCTTTTTCCCCTTGTAGTTTTGGCACCTCCTCTTAGTAGGACTTTGTATTAAATCCTTAGCTTAGCACGTCCCTATACCCTTCGGGAGGTCGGCCAACCATAGCCCTGGACGTTAATTAATAATATACATACATACATAGGTGTGCAGGTACCCACTGTTATGCTGCTTACTATGGGGCAAGTTACATTGTAAATACAGGAAGAAGGCATTTAATTGGCTAAAAGCGAGATCCGCCCGGGCGACTATTGAGTGGATTACCAGCTGACATGCTTCCTGCCCCCCACCCGTATAGGTACCTACCTGGTCTAAAAAAAGTGGTCAGCAGTATGCCAGGTAGATTGCTAATATAAGTATACGGAGTAAGAACTTTCTCTTAATGTCGCCGAATACTGGCGCCCTACCTAGGCACCCACCCACCCACCGACCCACCGCCGAGAGTAGAAATTCTACTAGTTCCAGCATACTACAAGACACAAAGCACAAAAGCGCAAAATGGCCGAACAGCGACACGGGCCGCTGTCTGTGATCCATGCGGGCCTCATGCGCACGGGTACACTGTCAATGAAGCGCGCCTACGAGATGCTCGGCCTGCGCGCGCATCACGGCTTCGAGATGGACTCGTGGGATGACTACCCGGGGCTGGAGCTGGCGGCCGAGGCTACGTGGCCGAGCGTGCCCGGCGCGCGGAAGCCCGTGCCCCCGCCCTTCACCAGCGCCGACTGGGACCGGCTGTTCCCCAACTACGACGTCGTCACCGACCTGGCCTCGCTCTTCGCCGAGCAGATGATCCGCGCGTATCCCGAGGCCAAGGTGGTGGTGGTGCAGCGGGACTTCGACGCCTGGTGGGCCAGCTTCGCGAGCGCCGTCCTGTCCAAGGACATCCCGGGCAACCCGCTCGCCCTGGCGCTGGTCCACGCCCTCTATCGGGCGGCCGGGACGCGCGTGTTCGACGCCGTCTCAAAGATGGTCAACGGCGCCTTTGGCACGCAGTCGTACCGCGACATCACCACCGAGAAGGCGAGGGCCTTCTACGACGCATACTACGGCCGCATCCGCCAGATGGTGCCCGCGGAGCGGAGGCTCGAGTACAGCTTAAGCCAGGGCTGGGAGCCGCTGTGCCGCTTCCTCGACAAGCCCATCCCAGATGCGCCATTCCCCCGCGTCAACGACAGTGGCGAGATGCAGCACCGGAAGATGGGTGAATTCGGGAGGATCCTGTCCCAGGCCGGGCGCAACATGCTGCCTTACCTTCTCGGAGGGGCCGGCGCTGCGCTTTCCGTCTGGCTGTATAGCGTCTCCAAGTAGCCGAGGGGGGCGAGTGGAGAGGGGACGCACCGATAGACTCTCTTGAAGGAGAAACAAGATATTTATATATCGACTATTATTGCTACTCTTCAGAAGCTTGTTGTACTAAGATTTGCGTGCCAGTTAGGTAGTTGCACATCTGAATTGGGAAGACAGGAGGTAAACTACCACCAAGTGTCCGGACACTTGTGTGCATATTTAATCCCCACAAATCTCGAACCGCCGTTTCCGTTTAATACTATAATTCTCGGCCATCATCTTGGTGCATTTTCGTCTGAATCCTCAGTCGTGTTTGAGACATTACTGTCGACGCGGCCTCTCGTGCTCTCTCGAGATGTCGACATGAGGTCGGCTTCCTCGCTGTTCCATCCATCTATCGCATGTCGTCGCGTGCAGGGCGATTGCTTTTACACCGAAAAGGAAATATGTAAAACGGAGTTGGAATCGGAGGCCATAATTGACGGCATCCTCGCCAAGGACCCCATCTGTCAACATTCCTAGCCCTTTCAACTCGTGCCAAAGTCCAGGCGGGTCGCAGGTGTCACCACTTTAGGTGGTCTCCGCTTGTGGCCTGGGCCGAGATCGATCTAAATCTGCATTTGGCGCTCACTATTGAACATTCCAGAAACGGCTCACCAATATCTTGAGAGTTGCTTTTCATTGCGTGGCTTGCTTTGTCAAGGCGGGAAATATTCCGAGTTCGAAAGACCACAATGCTCAGTGATCGTCAGGGTTGCAAGGTGGGGAAAGGGGGCATTGCACTTTCTCACAAACTACTACTTCCAAAAACAACTCCCATAACCACCAATCCCCATCAGCAATGATTCTGTTCATGGAAATGGAGTGCAATTCGAGACCGGTATTATGCTTGGCTGGGCTGAAACCGTCTTTCCCACGAGTTGGTAAAGCAGTGTCAGCGTCAGCAAGGATGGCGCTCCGCATATATAATAGAGCGTTCTGCTTATGGAATGGTGTTGCTCTCCCCAGGTGCCTGGTCTTGTGTCGGTAGAGAGTCACAGTTTGGCCCCCGAGAGAGCACAGACGAACACACAGCCACGAGATGCAGGTGAGGGCTACAATGCGGTTGTCGGTGTCCACCGTCCTGCTACTGGGAGCCTTGTTGGACTTGTTCGACCATGCGCAGGCGCGTATCTGTCCTAGCCGCAACTGTAGTGATGTAAGTGTTACAGATACTATAGCCCTCTCGGCGAACAGCTCACGGTGATAGGACGCGTGTGCCCGGGCAGTAACAGCAATGGATGGAGGGCTCTCGCTGGCGGTCAAGCAGGCCGACCACTCTTCCTTTTTCCTCTTTACCATCATACCAGCAGCTACGACAGATGTGCTTACTGTGACAGCAGCAGCCAAGTCCGTATTCCTCACGCAATTTGTCGGCTTGAATCTCACTACACTCCTGCCCACCCTCACCGTCACCAGTACTCTCCTTGCCACACAGAAAACTATCTTGGAGGCGGTTATCGTCACTAAGTTGTTCCAGGACACGCTGCCGAACACATTGCCGGCTATAACTGTCACAGACATCCTCTTCAACACACAAACGACCACGCTGCCCATAGCCACAATCACTAATCTCCTCTTCTTGACCCTCACCACGCAGTTGCTGGCGGTGACTCTCGACAAGGTCCTTTTACTGACTAGTCTCGTCATGTTGCCGCAACTTACGGCGACTGACGCTATCAGTTAGATCGAGAGCATCTAGCTGTTTGCAGTCATGCTGACCAACATCGTGGGGGTTACTAGTCTACTCACGGTAACGCTTCCCCCCATCATCGAGACTCTGGAACAGATCAATACGATACAGCTGGCGCTGTCTGAGGTTACGAATCTTATCAATGAGATTGATAGTATTACCTTGCTAGTGCTGACCCAGACCAGCCTCGTCGAGCAGATACTGACCCAGATATTGCCACCGGTCACCATCACCAACATCGTTGGCGAGCACCACGACAGTCTCCGCATCGACGGTGACCTCGACATCCACCGTCTCGGCGTCGACTCTCACTATCCCTCTGACGCTGACGACGACGGGCGGGCTGACGGTGGCGGCGCCGATCGTCACGGAGCTGCTCACCTTGACCATGCTGTAGACGCTGGAGCCTCAGACCCTGGTGTACAGCCTGTTTCCGACCATGAACGACATGGTGCAGCCGAGCAGCATACTTGTGTAGCTTACCTCGCTCGACCTGGAGACGCTTGTACCGCCTGCGCTCACCGAGACGCAGTTCCTGACGGCGGTGGAGACGCTCCTGCCGGAGACGCTCACTAACCTGCTTACGGTGGTCGACCTGCAGACCGTCTCGCTGCCCGACATGACGCAGACGGCTGTTGTTACGCAGCTGACGATGCTCGCGGCCAGCGTCATCGACAAAGTGAGCACGCTGACCATGCTCCCCGACATCCGGAGGAAATTTTTTCTAATTTAGGCTAGGGCCCAGCTATTTTGGGTAGGCGGCAGCCTAAGATTAGAATACTTTAGGCAGTTTCTAGAGCTTTATAGGTAAAGTTACTATACTAATATCTAGTAATGATTTTTAGTATTTATATATTATAAAAGTTAGAATAAATTAAATAGAAAGATTTTATTCCTAGCTATTTATATAGATAAAAAGATAAGCTAACCTACTAGTATCTTTCTTACCTTATTTAACCTATAGTCTATTTTATAGTCTATATATTTTATAGTCTATATATTTTATAGTCTATATATTTTATAGTCTATATATTTTATAGTCTATATATTTTATAGTCTATATATTTTATAGTCTATATATTTTATAGTCTATATATTTTATAGTCTATATATTTTATAGTCTATTAAAGTTGTAACGGCGCTGGCTGGGGGCCAAAGGGGGGTGGCTGTCACATGACTGGTTTCACCTAGCTAGCCGGCGTTTCAGTGGTTTTAGCTAGTATTTCCCTCCTTTATCCCCTTTCCTTCTCTCTCTCTCTCCTTCTTCTCTTTAGCTTAGTATTTTCAATACATGGGATTTTCCTGGATCTTTGAGCCTTTGTACCATTGCCTCGATCCCGCCGTCACAAAAGTGGCGGAAGCCACTATAGAGCTAATAAGCCCCACAACACCCCACTTAACTGCTTGATCAGTGAGTTGACTGCAGGAAAGCGGTTAAAACTCGCTTTATATTGGTAGATGACGAAGGAACTTGCTATTATAACAAAAGAAAGCACACTAAATTAACTGAAGTTGTTTCTGATTCAAAACGCTAGCAAATCCCATAAGACTGGGATGATGAAGAACATCATCGATTGTCACTTGAGCGTGCGAAATTGAAATGGCGTCCCCATTCACCTCCGCCTCGGGGGTGGTCTTAATCCTGCGTTGTATCAAGGCAATTAAATGGGCGGCATCGAGAAAGTCGCCTCCTAGCCGGTAGAGCGGCAGGTAACGCATGTCTGGAGTAGGCTCATCGGGCGGTAACGTTCCCACGCTTGTTGTGCGTTTTGAAGTAAAGACGGAGAACCAGATTGTATCGAGAACACTGAGACTAGAATCGTCGAGTTTGTCGGTGGACATGGCGTTGCTTGATCTGCCTTGGGTTGGACTCTGCTCTTTAGAACTCCTAACCGGTCGCAACATGGCGAAATTCAAGGAAGATCTTGGCATCACCTCTGTTCCAAGAAGGGCGATTTGGTCAGATTTAGAAGGCCCAGCATTCAAAAGAATGTGAACGGTGTCGGCAAGATCTTCCAGCAGCGCCTGAGCCGTGTCCAGGTGGAATGCCCTTGTCGAGTAACCCAGACTCATCTCAACAGTGCCATCGTTCTCCTGGGAGACGACGGCGAGATCGTACCAAGTCGTGAGTGGTTTCATTTCAGTGGTGATGGTGCTCACTTGGAAACCGATTTGTCCGCTGGCTGACTTGGCCGCTGGCTTGGCTGGTCGGTGATTGACGACGGAGGTAAAGCGATTAGCCGGGGACCAGTCCGTACACTCCCGGATCATTGAACGGAAACTGACACCTTCATGGGGAATGCGATTCCGCTGCTGATCTCGCACTTGGTTCAACAGTTGAAGGATCGAGTGCTGGCCGGAGCTATCAGCAAACCTGATGCGCATAGGGACGTTGGTTGCACAGCAGCCGACAACGGTACTGCTTATAGACGGGTTGACCACGTTTCTCCCGGAAATGGTATCTCCAAACACCACATCGCTCTTCCCCGTGTACTGGGCTAGGACGTGTGCCCATGCACAGCTGATGAGGGTGGAGGTGGTAATGCCCTCTCCCTTTGATTTCGGCACTGATATCACCTTGTCCTTGGTAAAGGCCATGCGCAAGGGGCTCTGGTGGTGGTCGGACTCTGTCGCTGGAATGAGCTCGGGCATGGCGGACCCATCAAGCAAGCTCCGCCAGTAGCTGTAGCTTGTGTCACTTGTCTGCCGATTCAGATCTGCGACGTAGTGGGCGAAGGAGCCTAATAAGGGCGGCTCATAAGCGTCCCGTTGATGGTACAATTTGCGGAGGGTGTCCAGGATGATTGGAAGAGACATGGCGTCGTATATAGCATGTGACATGCGCAATAGTATGCGGGTCTTTTTGCTCTCATCTTGTTGAAGAATAGCCATGTTCACCATGGGTGTGCCGAGTCGAAGAGGTTGACGGCACATGTGCCCTTCATATAAGCTCTCGGTGGCATCTTCCAGCGAGCCAGCAGCCTTGACCACGAGCACATTGTGCTGATAGGACTTCAATATGATCTGGAGAAGCCTTCCGTTGCGAAGATCAAACGCGAAAGCAGTGCGGAAAGCTTCGATATGCTGCGCCAGTAGCATGCAGCTTTGCTGTAGTCGAACCAGATCGAGGCCGCGATCCGTATCAAGGACAAAGGTGTTTACTTCTGTCTGGGCCGCGGTCAATGCTCCTGCCACGCTGAAGGCAACGGCGTCAGTGGCAGGGAAGACATCCTGGATCGATTCCTTTCCGGTCCCAGTGATGGGGCAGACGACCTCGTCAAGGAAGGCGTCGATATTGTTGTTGTCCACACCGTCGAGTAGCTGGAAAGGACGGTAAGGGGGCGGTGAAGCCGCTTCAAGTGCCGATCTAGTCAGACTTTTGGCGACAACTGCCATTTTGAACAAGACTGGATTCTCAAAAATGTCCAGCACACGGAGATCAAGAGTCTCCGTCCTTGCAGTAGCAACGACTTTCATGGCGCTAATAGAGTCACCACCGATGTCGAAAAAGTTATCATGTCGGTCGATTGTCTCTGCCTCGACCCCAAGCACGGCTGCCCATAGCTTACGCACGACGGCCTCCCTGTCGGTGTCGACCTTTCCAGTTTTCGAGGCGCTTCGAGACTTTGCATCCGCGATCTGGTTGCCCTCACTCATCATAAACTGGCGGACGGCTTTGCGGTCGGTCTTCCCGGAGGCGTTCTTCGGTATCTTGTCTATTTGCAGATACACTCTCGGAACCATGTATGCCGGCAGTCTCTCAGCCAGAGATTCCTTGAGCCATGTCGAATGGCCTGCCACGTCGTCGTCGTTGTTGTCGTCGTCGAGGAACTCAAGGGCGGCAACGAGTGCGCGTTGATTGTCACTGAGGTGCAGATACTCTACCACGGCCATTCGGACCTTGGGCATGAGTTTCACAATGCACGACTCAATCTCGCCCAGGTCAACCCGCTGGCCGCGGATCTTGATCTGCGAATCGCTTCTCCCCAGAATCGTGATGTTGCCATCGGCGTTGTATCGCACCAGGTCGCCACTGCGATACATCCGACGTCCCGATTTCCTGGGGCCAACGTCTGCAGTGAAGCCGGGATCCGTGATAAACGCCGCCGAGGTCTTGACGGGGTCGTTGCGATACCCACGCGCGACTTGTGGGCCCTCGATAAGAAGCTCTCCCACTACGCCAATGGGCACAAGTCGGTTGTAGTTATGAGTGTCCACGATCCAGTTTTGGGTGCCGCGGATGGGTCTGCCAATGACGGATGAACCGCTCTCGTCTGTCACTCCAGGGTTCATGGTGGTTGTGATGGAGCACTCGGTCGGGCCGTAGCTGTTGGCCAGGGTGACATTCGAACCCAGAAGCCACTTTTCAATCAAGGCTGGGGTGATGGCTTCACCACCCAGTACCAGCATCTTCATCTGCGGGACCTCGGCCGGGGGGATCAGCGCCGTCGTACTGGCTGTGAGGAGTGCAAAGTTGCCGTTCAGTCGCTGCAGGGACCCGACCAAATCGTTCATCCGATCGTCCTCCGAAGGCAAGCATACGACTCCCCCAAATGTCCAGGCCATGAGAATGTCGCTAATAGAGACATCAAAGGTGAAGGCAGCGAATTGGAATATGCGGTAAGTCGGGTCCATGTTCAAGTCGGTGCCCTTGCTCAGGACGGCGTTATATATGCCTCTATGCTCCAGGGTCACACCCTTGGGAACTCCTGTGCTGCCAGATGTGTACATAATCCAAGCCGTGTCTTCGGCTCGGACTGATTCCGAGGGAACAGCAGGATCGCGGCCATCGTATGACTTGGCCAAGTCAGCGAGTGCTGCTTCATTGACAGTTACGCTCCTGCAACCCAGCGACTGGAACCTGTCTGCCTTGGACTCGTCACAGAGTACCATGGCTGGAGACGAGTCCTGCAGAATGACACTGATTCTCTCCGGCGGCAGTTGAACTCCAAGCGGCACCACTGCGCCGCCGGCATATAGAATGGCCAGTATAGCCACCATGGCCCATCGGGACTTGTCCATGAAGAGCCCGACTGCTACTTCGGGGCCCACGCCCCCTTCTGCGATGAGCAGCTGGGCAAGGCTTCTGGCCGCTCCATCAAGCTGCTGATAGGTAAGCTCCCCATCCCAGCTGCAGACGGCTTGAGAGTCAGGGTTGGTTCGAACGGTCTTGATGACCAGGCCATGAACACAGCCAAGGGAGGGCCATTGGCCGGTGAGGTTCCAACCGGCAATCCTATCTAGATCGTATGAGTTGGCCAGAGGAAGATCTCCCACCGTCTGCTCCTCGGAAGCGGCATTTCCAGCAAGCTGGGCGACGTTGTGCTCGAATTGTCGCAGGACCGCTTGGACCTGGTCGTCGGGGATGACGGCGCTGTCGAACCGAGCCGCCACCTCAGCCTCCCCCTTGCGCTCATCCAACTTGCACAAGACTGAGAGCGGGTAGTCATCGAGCGCCTCCATCGTCAGGTGTACCTGCTCAAAGCCAGGCATTTCAAGCGACGGATCGTCCAGGTCCGTATCCGCCGCGGCGTGTACGAGGAACAAGTGTCTGGGGTCAGCCGGGTTGAAAGCGGGAACGAGCCTTTTGATTCTCTGGAGTCCAACGTGCTCAAACGGTATCATCTCCACGCCTTCGCGGTGAACACTGTCCAGGAAGTCCCGGACCCTTTGCAGGCCGTGTACTTTAATCCGGACGGGGGCGGTGGTAAACGTTGGGGCCGCGAGCTCCGTGATTTCTGCCACAGGCGCCGAGCGGCCTGAAAGATTGACGGCAAACACGACATCTTCGACGCCGGCATATTGGGCTACTGTCAAAGCCCATGCTGCCCTGAGGAGACTGGGGAAGGGCGTTTGCAGCCCCGCGACTCCGTCTATACGGACTATTTGCTTCAGGAGCGAGGTAGGCTTGGGCTCATAGAAGCCAACAGAAGGAAGCGAGGGGAAATCGGTATAGGAACCAGCACCTGCCAACGTCTGGGTCCAGAATTGCGATGCGGCGTCCAAGTCGGTGTCAAGGACGTGGCGAATGAATCTCGGGTACGGGATAGCCTTCGGCATCTCACGTCCATAATAGGCCGGTAAGAGGTAGCGGTTCAGTATCTTCCCGATACTCCATTTGTCAAACATGCTGTGGTGGGTGGTCAAGACAAAGCACTTGGCCCCTGAGCTCTGCTCCTCGACAATTGCACAGCGGAGAAGAGGCTCGCCCGGTTTGAAGCCCGCGACCTTGTCCGCGGCAAGGTAGCTGTCCAGATCGCCACCAATGTGCCATACTAGGGGCCCGTCGACCACTGTCTGTAGAAAGCCACTGTTGCGGTCCAGCACGATTCGAGTGCGAAGGATGGGCAGTGTTCTGGCTACCGCCTCCCATGCAGCCTGGAACCTGGCAATGTCAACGTCCTCCCCCCTGGCTCGGAATACTTGGCGATATGTGTAGGCCGTCGGCTGTCTTGCCGTGATGGCGAACAGCGCTTCTTGCATAGGGGTGCAAGGATATACATCTGTAATCTGGTCCGAGGCCACCCGGCATTGAGCAGCAAAGTCTACCAGTCGAGATTCAAAGCCGCCGGGACTACTTGGATTCTCCGGCATCAACTCGAAGGGAGCAGGGTCCTCCTCTGCTACTTTGACGAGGCCGGCCTCCTGCTCGGTTTCCAGGATTCGAGTATATTCCTCCAAGATGGGGTGCGTAAATATGGACGCAACGGTCAATTGAAGACCGACCTGTCGAGCCGATGCGACAAGTTTCATGGCCGCCAAGGAATCACCACCGAGTCGCGTAAAGTGGTCTTGGGAACCGATAGAGTCGGCATCGATGGAGAGGACCTCAGCCCATAGCTGCTGAAGTTGCTTGCCCATCTTGGTTTGAGGGCCTTTCTTGATACCTTCACTAGCAAGATAGCGTTGCAGCAAGGACGAGCCTGACTCGAGATTCGTCAACAGCTGACGCACAGCCTTTTTATTTGTCTTGCCAGATGGTGTCAAGGGGATCTTCTTCCAGGGCATAAATGCGGTCGGCACCATGTAGCTTGGGAGCTTGTCTACCAACCCGTCCCTGAGGCCACATAGGGCCTTTTGGATCTTGCTGGAAGGGGCAAGAATGGTGACCCCATCAATCTCCTCGGTTTGGTCAACGTCCAACAGGTCACAGCCTTCGGTGAAGTCGATCACAGCTACAAGATCATTCGCCTTCTTCCCAGCTTGGAGATCGACCAGATCGACAACAATCGTCTGCACCCCGGCGAGAAGCTTGCCGATCCAGTACTCAATCCGGCCCAGGTCAACTCTGTGCCCACGGAACTTGACTTCGCTGCCCATGCGGCCGATGTAAGTGTAGGATCCGTTGGGATTCTGCTGAACAAGATCGCCGGTCCGATACATTCGCCTTCCGGCGTCATCTAGACCAAGTTGCTTGATGAATCCGGGCTCAACCACGAAGTATTGCGCCGTCAGCTCTGGATTGTTCACATAGCCCCGGGCCTGCCAGGAGTTCTCAATGAGAAGCTCACCGGGGATGCCAATGGGACACAAGCGGTTGTGGTCGGTGGTGCTAGTGACCCAAAAGTTACAGTTCTCCAGCGGGTATCCAATAACGGGCGCATCTTCGATTCTTTGCATCGGCTTGCCGCAGGACGAGTAGACGGAGCACTCGGACGGACCATAGATGTTAACCACCTCGGCGTGATCAATCCAGCGCTCGACAACACTTGGCTTGATCAGCTCGCCGGCGACTTGCAGCTGAGTTATGGACGGCACATCGGCCGGATTGATCATGGATGCCACGGTTGGGGTCAGCACCATCTGGTTAACATTCATGTCCCTGATGGCCTGTGAAAGCGAGTTGACTCGTTGGTCTTCCGAGGGAATGCAGACACATCCTTTGAAGATGAGAGTCGTCATGATTTCTTGCAGAGTGACATCAAACTCATGAGATGCGAATTGGAGGGTGCGGGACTCCTTGGACCAACGTGTCGCTCTTCCGTGTGCCGGCAGACTAGTGGCAAGACCGCCATGGACCAGGAGGCATCCCTTTGGCAACCCTGTGCTTCCGGATGTGTACACAATCCATGCGGGATGATCAGGGGTAAGAGCCGGGCATATAGGCCCACCCACGATGGGGTCCGGGAGGCTGGCTAACAAAGTGTCACTCACCTCAACAATACAAGGCCCCGAGCCGGCGAACCTATCCGTGTGTCCTGCGTTGGTCAGCATGACAGCTGCTTGACAATCCTCCACGAGAGCCTTGGCTTGCTCCAATGGGGACTGCGAGCGCAGCATGACAACGACCCCCCCGGATTCTAGGATACCCAGGATGGACACGACAGTCCACCTAGACTTATCCATGCAAACCGCCACCCTGGATTCGGGACCCACTCCAAGGCTAGAAAGATGCTGTGCAAGCCTCCTGGCGTTGGCCCAGAGTTCTTTGTATGTAAAGTCGCCGTCCCAGGCACAGACCGCTGGCGAGTCTGGCTGTTCTTCGACTACATCCCTTATCAGGTGGTGCAGGCAGGTCAAGTCCCGCACCGGTATCCCAGCATTCTGTTTCTTGATTTGGGCTAGATCGGTAGAGGTGATTTCCTCCAGGCTGCACAGCTGCCTCTCGTGGTTCGCCTCGTCGAGGAACTGCGAAACCCAGTGCTCAAACTGGCGAAGAAGCACAGCCACCTGAGCCTCGCTTACAACGTGACTGTCGAAACGAGCCTCGAGCTTGATCGAGGCCCCTCGCTGGCTGGGGAGTTGGCACTGAATGGTGAGAGCAAATGTGTCAAACGCGTTCACGGCGGTATCCACCAGCTCCAAGCCGGGAACCTCGGTGGCTCCCTCTCCATTCCTAGCATATGGTGGTTCAATAACAAGAGCATGGTTGATATCCGTCGCAGGCTGGAGATCGGGACCAAGGCGTCTGATCTCTTCCAATCCCGTATGCTCAAAGGGTATCATTTCTACTGCCTGGGACTGTATAGTTCCGAGATAGCTAGAAACCTTTGCTTCCTGATCGACATGCACTCGAACCGGCACAGTAGTAATGGTGGGTGCGATAAGCTCCGTGATCTCCGCGACGGGGGCATTCCGGCCAGAAAGAGTCGCTCCGAAGACCACATCGTTTGTGCCTAGGTATTGACCTAGACTCATGGCCCAACCAGCCCTCAGGACGTCAGCAAGTGAGAACCCAGACCTCGAATGATTGAACACCGAAGTGTTTATCTCGGAGCGAAGCAAGGCGGCAGGCTTCGGCTGGTAGAAAGAAGACGGCATAGGAGGGAAGGCTGACGGGATATCTCCTCCAAGCTGGTCGCGCCAGTAGGAGGCAGTCTCGATTCCATCAACCTCTTTCATGCGTTGCTGGTACGCAATAAACCTCGTGAAGGGGACCGCAGGAGGCACCTCGTCATGGAGATAAAGAGCCGCCAGTCGCTTATAGATTAACTGGGAGCTCCAGCCATCGTAGACCGAGTGATGCGCTGTCCACACAAAATAACGGACACCATTCGACTTCTCGTGCACCAAAGCAAAACGCATGAGCGGCTGACCAATGGCCATGGCGCGTGCTTGGTCATCTGCAACATACTCCTCCAAGTCATCATGGGTCTGCCATGTGGGAGCCTTCTTCGATAGCACCTGCAAAGATCCTGAGCGCTGCCCTAGTAACATGTGAGTTCGCATGACGGGGGCCTGTTGGACCATGACGTCCCACATTGTTCGGAAGCGCAAGAAATCGATAGAATCCGAGAGAGCGTAGGTTTGGCGCACGAGATACGCCGTCGGGCGTAGCTGCGTGGCAGCCAACATGCTCTGCTGTAATGAGGTACAGGGATAGATATCCTCAATGTCTTCGGTACTCAGGCCGCACTGGATGGCAATGTCTGCAAGTTCCGCCTCTCTATCGCTCGAGGATGGCTGCCAGAGAGAGAAAGGGGGAGGGTCACTTCGCTCCTCCTCCCCCTGAGCAGAGTCAACCTTGCCAGCTGCGTTGCGTTCATCGAGAATTCGTGCAAGGTCTTCAAGTCTAGGGAAGCCCAAAACATCCTTGACCGTCATGTGAATGTGTTCTAGTCTAGCCATTTCCACCAGTTTGATAGCTAGGAGAGAGTCTCCCCCTCGATAAAGGAAATGGTCGCTTGCTCTGATGGACGAGCTGCTCACGCCGAGGACAGCCGCCCACAGAGCTTTGAGCTTCTGCCCAGTCTTCGTCAGCAGCGGCTGGTCATTGTCGCTTGAGTCCTCAGAAACATATTCCTGTAGGGCGGCGGTGTCCAACTCACCAACCAACCGGCTAACCATTTTGCGGTCCGTCTTGGCAGACGAAGTCAGGGGTATACGTCTGAAGGGAATGTAGAAAGTGGGAATCATGTAGGAGGGAAGCTTCGCTTGCAATGTATTCCGCAGCAGGTTGAGTCCTTCGCGAAGCTCATCGGACGCTGGGAGAATCTCTCTATCACCCAAGGGATCAAAGGCGGTGTGTTTGGAAAATTCAACGGCAGCAAACAAGATGGCACCTCCTGAGGACAATGTGTCTTTCTTATCTGCGGGTAGAAGGCCAACGACGGCCCGGATTACACCATCGAGGGACTTTATAATCCAGTGCTCGACCTCGGATACATCAAGTCGTTGGCCGCGAATCTTGATTTGCGTGTCTCTTCGACCGAGATAGCTCATAGAGGAATCGCTGTTCTGCCGTACAATATCTCCTGTTCGGTAGAAGCGTCTCCCGGGCTCAATCCCTAGTAGAGATGCAAATGCTGGATCGTGGACGTAAGCAGTAGCTGTCTTGGCTTCGTCGTTGAGATATCCTCGGGCCAGCAGTGGGCCCTCGATCAATAGCTCGCCCGGAGCTCCTGGAGGACATAGCCGCCCTGGGTTCTGCGGATCGGTGACCCAAAAGTTCACGTTCATGGGGAATCCAATATTCGCCAGGTCTTCCACGCTCTGGAGCGGCTTGCTGACACTGGCAAATATAGAGCTCTCGGTTGGACCGTAGGCATTGAAGATATCTGCCTTTCCGAGCCAGGCCTCTAATACGCTCGCTCTGACTTCTTCTCCAAACAAAATCAGTTTTCGAACCATTGGGGCGTCCGCGGGTCTGATGGTTGATGCCATGCTTGGGGTGAGGGAAAGAACGTTTGCCTGTAGACGAAGTACTGAACCTGCCAGGTCGTTGACACGATTCGTCTCATCAGGTATACAGACACAGCCTCCATAGATGAGCGTGGTGAATAACTCGAATAGGGACACGTCGAACGTGTGCGCCGCAAACTGGAGTACCCTGTCCTCTTGAGACAGGTTCAGTGCGATACCATGGGCACGCATGCTAGTTGCCAGGGCTCGATGCTCTACCAATACACCCTTTGGTGTTCCAGTGGAGCCAGACGTGTAAAAGATCCATGCGGTGTTTTCCGGCTCGGGTCGCGTCTCTTGTGTGGTTGTGGTTGTTGTTGTTGTTGTTGATGATGGACTTGGTGACTCGTCCGCCATAATGTCGATTATATTCAGAAGCTGGGTGCCCAGTCCAGAAAGTCGGCTGACTTGTTTCCCATCGCCAATCACGGCCACGGGGGACGAGTCGGCAAGAATGGCCTGGACACGAGCAATGGGTTCTCCCACCCCGATGGGAACAACAGCACCGCCAGCCCGTAAGATGGCGAGCATGGCGACCGGCACGAGCTTGGATTTGTCCATACAGACTCCCACTGGGACTTCTGGCCCAACACCAATATTCACTAAATACTGAGCGAAATGGGAGGTGCGGTCATCTAACTCCTCGTATGTCAAGCTGCCATCCCAAGCGTCGATGGCGACAGCCGATAGTTGCTCCTGGATGCGCTCGTTGACCAGCTTATGGACGCATCGGTTCAGACCCTCGGGAACACGAGAGTTTCTCTCTAGGATCTGCTGCTTCTGATCTTCGCTGATCAGCTCGAGTCTGGACACAGTGGTGCTAATGTCTCGGAAGATAGAGTGAAGTGCCTCCTGGAAGTTTTGAAGGAGACGTTGGGCATAGTCTCTATCCATCCGAGAGGCCCAGTAATCCAGCGCGAACCCCAAATCTGCTTGGCCCGCCGAAACGACAAGAGAAACATCATACTGCCGATAGTATCAGATTGCTGTGGCTTGGGGATTCTCTGAGGGATCCGTACTTACATTTGTAGGGCTGGAGCCTTGGATAAGTTTATAACTCAAGCCTGGAAGACGTCCATCATCCTGAACAAGTCTCCGGCGGAATGACATGACGGTATTGCTCCAACGACGAGGAGAAGTGGTGTTAGAAAACTCTGCCTCGTGGGATAGACTGTCTGCGTACTCAGAGTTGACAGCCCTGATAGCATCCAACACGTCTGTCTCCCCTTCCAAGTTCATGGAGCAAAGGAGTGTGGTGATCAGCGGCCCAACAGCCGTCATGATGCCCTTCAAGGGCTTGTTTCTCAGGGAGGAGATGTATGAGAAGCACACGTCGTCGACACCGAGTTGACTGCGCAGCACGACGCCCCAGGCAAGTTGGCAGACACTGGCCAAGTTGATCTTATGCCGTCGACAGAGCCGGTCCATAGATGCTACGTTGACGGGCATGGTGGAATGCATGGTGTCGAAGTCGTGAAAATCAGCCTCCTCTCGTGTGACTGGAAGGAGTGTTGCCTGCGTCTTGGAGAGATACTTCTGCCAGTAATCCGACACATGGGTCTCTCTGGATTGATGCTCGCTGAGCGCGTATTCAGCGTAGGAGAATGCCTTCTCGCCGGTGCCTCCAGGTCCGACAGCAGAGACACACAGGTTGTCGAGAAGAATTTCGGCAGAGTGGCCATCGGTGATGGCGTGGGAGATAGTTAGCACGATGAGACACCGTCCAGGGCCTTCCTGGGTGATGGTCAGATGGTGCGGCACCTCGAACGGTTGAAATTCAGCCTTTACCGGCTCGAGAACCCCTGAAATTATGTCGATTCGCGGGGTCACTTTCTTGAGCACGACTTGGTCAAAGTGCCCCAGGCGACTTTCGCTCTCGACAAACACAGTCCTGAGGGACGAGTGCTTCTCGACGACTCTGCTCCATGACGTAGCCCATTTTGCAGCGTCAATGGATGCGAAAGCGCCTGACGTTGAGGCTCTGGCAGTAAAGCTACACATGTATGCCCCACTATCCAGGGAATTGCCCATGAGCATATTATCCTGTATGGGCGTGCACGGGTAGATGTTGTAAATGTCTGCAAGAGGATCTTGAGTAATCTGAAGCAACTTTTGCTCAAATAAGCGGTCCAGAGACGGGTAGTCTAGTGATACATGTGGGAAATCGGAGAGCGTGGGCAAAGGTCGACGGCTGGGCAATATTGCGACAATGTCTTGTAGATGGCTGACGAACTTCTCGGAATTGCGCTTGAGATCTGTTTCTCCTCCGAACTCGGTACCGCAAACGACCAAGAAGCTCAATTTTGTATCCATCCAAAAAGGGGTCATGCAGAGCCCGCCTATTGATCGAGCGACGACCTCGGCAGCATGGCGCCCGGGCACTTCGTCAGTCGACTGCATTACGTTGTTGGATGAGGCGCCCTTCCGCCCCCTGAGCCGAGTTGTGTCAAAGATGAGATTGTTGTGATGAGAGACATTGTGGACAGAGCTCAAGAATGAACGCTGTCTCGAATCTTTCGCGCTGCGGCACGCATCGACTATGTCTCCAGTGCAGTGATAGGGTATCTCAGCAAGCTCATCAAAGCATCCTATCACACTGTCCCACGCGTCATCCTCCTCATGGGGCCGACCATCCCTGATCTCGACATGTCTCGCTGGGCCGGGTAATTGGTCTCCGAAAGAGGAGGCCAAGGACGCGAATATCACATCGTGAATCTCTGTACGCAATGTTCGGTGGCATGTCTCGCTATGAAGTGCTTCCGTCAACTTCAAGCTCAAACTGAAGACCCAAGATGGGACGACTCCGGCTTGCGGGAAGGGGTCTTTCGGCGGCGACTCTGAATTCACCGACGGTCCAATCGCGACAGCAGATTCGATTTCCTTCTCCGTTCCCTGATTCACTCGCTCAACCCAGTCGGAGAAGGTGTGAGACTCAGTACTCAAGTCATGAGATCGGGCTGGATAGGCCTGGATATCTTGAAGAAGGATATGCCATGAGTAAGCGTCAAAAGCGGCAGTGTGTGCCACCAAACCGAGTTTCCTGATCCGGGATCTTTCTCCAAAGAAGAGAACGCTGAGAACAAGTGGGCTTGACGTTGAAACCTCCTCTTGCAGCTTTCTCACCTGAGCGATGGCCTTCTCATCGGATTCATATGGCACCAAGGTTCCCGAGGGGGAAGGTGTGATGCCTGACAAGACATAGGAATCCTTTTGATCGGGCTCCAGGGAAGCTCCGAGAATTGGATGTCTCTCCACCAGCCTCTCCAACATTTGAGTAGCATCAGTGAGGGACATTGGAGCCTCAACATCCAATGTGAAGCCCTGTGACGACGACCCGAAGATACGGTACAGGCTCTGGAGCTGTGTGTGGGGAACAGAAACAGATCTGTGGTCCGTCGCAGTACCCGATCGCAGCAACTCTGGGTTAGTTTCGACCAGCTGCCGTGCTAGATCACGCATAGACATGGTCGAGACATAGGCCATGTCGACGAGGAGACCGAGTTCCCTACATTGCCCGGCGAAGAAGACTCCTGACAGCATATCGCCGCCTTGCTCGACGAGAGATTTCTCTGCGTTAATCTCAGATTCGTCCCTTTTCAGGACATGAGATGCCGCCCTGCACAGCAAGGTTTCGATGCCATTGTGACCGCCCATTTTGTGCTTTGACAGCTTGAAAGCGGCTGCAACGCTAGTAGAGTCACTCACTATGGCAACAACCAAAATGTGCACAGAATAAAAGGCGTAGGACAGCTCAGAAGCAGCTTTCAAAGAAAACAAAGATGGTTTATTGGTTGTATTGAGCCTTGGGAATGTTCTTGAATTCAGTTGAGCGTATACGACCGTCTTGTTCATCCGGTGACAATACAAAGCGGGCGGCCTGTTCCCGCCGAGCACTTGCACACTTACTACGGTATTAGGGCGTAAGTTTTTCGGCTACGTAGAAGGCGTGTATCGAGCACTAACAAGGGACTGTGGCCAGGGTGTCGCCAGGGTATTAACAGGGCATTTTGTGCTGCGAAAAAAGATACTTCTGTTTCCCGTGTGGTCCGTGTCAGCCATGTGAGTAACTTGACAAGGTTATAAACTTTTGCCTGATACCGTACTGTGTACTGTGTAGTATCTAGGGATGGCACTTTACATTACAGCGGGAATCAGATGTGTAATTTACGTAATTACAGGCCCTAAGCACTTTACAAGTGTAATTACAGTCATGTGACGTACTAGCCTAATATGGAACGCACTAACCTAATTTAGAGGCGGTGTATACCGGCAGTAAGGTAGAATCTTCGCAGCTGAGAAACTCTCCATTATCAACACTCCACCACCAGGGAATTGATCGCCATTCCACGAGCTAATATGCCTTCCAATAGTCAACAATACACTCGAAAGAAAACAGAGGTATACGAAGCCTTCGACAAAATTTTTAGTATGCGAAGACTGGTCGATATTTAAAGCTATTCCAGAGGTTTCTGGCATAATTCAGGGCACACTTCAGAGGAGATCCAGGGGGGATATTGGCGATTTTCAGGGCCTTTAGGGCCTCCCTAATCAGTATTACGACCTGGAGTTTCAGGCCTTTGGGGACTACTATTGGGACCACGTGCCTTAAATTATACCTTCTTTATGATGAATTATACTTAAAGTTATGCTATATTACACGAGCTGAAGAGCCTTTCGTAATGTAAAGTCGAAGAGCCTTACGTAAATTACGTAAAGTGTAAAGTCAGCCATCCCTAGTAGTATCCGTACATTGTTCGTCTGCTTTTCTAGTACAGGAGATGGCGTGTCCGCCAAGAACGTGCACTTATAACAGGGCCCAGGGGTGGGGAGGGGGGGGGGGGCGGTGAAACGTACGGTACACATCTTCCATGCGCATCGGAAACCTCAGACATGATTCCAGAATTATCACGTGGCCTTAGTTTACATGAAGCAGGCGCAGCAGACGCGCCGCCGCCACCGCCGGCCCTCAACTGCTTACAAATAAGAGTACACCTGTCTACTTCGTATGGTAGAAGGATCACCTTGCATGGAGAAGGATTCTACGGGAAAAAGTAAAACGACCCCCCCCCCCCCCCCCGGGTGTCGATTAGGGGTGTCGATGGGGGCCACACTAACCGAAATTAGTAAGCGGTAGCAGGTGCCCGTATACATTACTTTGTATACACCAATGTGTGCAAATTAATATATATTAGCACCTTAATACGCGTATTACATTCTCTGCTCTAATGGCTCATTATTATTATTTCCAGACAAATTTAGTTATATCGCAATTAGCCCCAAAAAAAATTAGGGTCTTATAGGCTTATAGTAATGCGTATTTCCTCTTAACCTCTAGTAGAAGGGGAAAATATAAAACGATACCTCCCCAGTTATTAATTAAGGGTGTTAATTAGGGGGTGTCAATTGGGGGGTGTCAATTAGGGGGTATTAATTAGGGGTATCGATCTTAAGAGAGCCTGAAAATTTAGCGATTAAGCACCTGGAACTTATTTGCCTCGTACGCAATAATCGCCTCACTTATCCCATATCCCAAAACTAGAGCTCTTATATATAAACTTATACAAGTAATTATTTAGATTTTATTAAAACTCTAATATCTATTAATACTCCTATTTTATACCCGTGGCAGGGGAGGGTGCGGCCAGGTATACTCTACTTCGTATGGTAGAAGGATCACCTTGCATAGAGAAGGATTCTACCATGCAAAGTCATCCTTCGCGAGCCTTCACCAAATAGAGGGTGCGAATAGGGGACCAGGGAGGGTGCGGCCAGGTGTACTCTACTTCGTATGGTAGAAGGATCACCTTGCATGGAGAAGGATTCTACCCATGCAAAGTCATCCTTGGCAGGGGTTCCGAGCTTCGCCAACCTCTGGACAGTAAAGCGCCGCCGGATTATGTGAGTAATACTACGTACGTAGACATGGACCCTGGGCGAGCAACGCGTTGTCGGTGGGTACCTACTACGTTAGGAGAGCTTACCATTTCGACTTATAATCTGGAGACGCATTCTTCTTCCTTGGAGTTGGGGGGCATAGCTCTCTCACATTTTGGCCATATTTCTCTTTCAAACATTATGGGCTCACTAGGCCCGACGCGTGCCATGAATGGCAACCCGGTTGGAAATGGCAGTGCGCCTGTTAATGGGGACTCTCCAGCAGCACCAAATGGAGGGCATTTGGAGCCTATTGCCATGGTGGGCATGAGTTGCCGGCTCTCCGGAGACGCATCAGACACGCAAAAGCTGTGGGAACTGCTCATTAAGGGTCGTTCGGCGTGGTCAAAGACGCCCAAGGATCGATTCAACCAAGAGGCTTTTCATGATCCCTCTGCTGAAGGCAAGCCCGGAAGGGTAAGGACATATCACATATCAGCCCGGCAGTCCGGCCTTGGCCCTATACAGAATGTACAACTGACTACCTACTCTCTAGACAAGTACAGACGGTGGACATTTTCTGAAAGATGATGTTAAAGCCTTTGACGCCTCCTTCTTTGGAGTCAACCCGATAGAGGCAACGGTGCGTATTCCTATTGCCAATGCGGTCACAAGCCAGCGTGAGGAGTAACCAACTAACCCTACTTGATCTTAGGCCATGGACCCTCAACAGAGACTGCTTCTTGAAATTGCCTATGAGGCTTTTGAAAATGCCGGCCTCACCCTTGAACAATTGTCAGGGTCCAACACTGGTGTCTATGTCGGCCAGTGGGCCTCGGACTACCAGGAGATGCTCCTCAGAGATATCGACTTTCCGCCTATTTACCAGGCCAGCGGCGTTGGAGCGGCCATTTCCTCCAATCGTGTTTCCTACTGTTTCAACCTACACGGCCCCAGTCTCACCCTCGACACCGGCTGCTCAGCCAGTTTGGTAGCCCTTCATCAGGCCGTGCACAGTCTCCGCGCAGGCGAGACGGATACATGCTTCGTGGCGGGCGTCAATCTCCAACTCGACCCGCAGCGATATGGCTATCAAAACAAGCTAAGTATGTTCTCTAAACAAGGCAAGTCGTACACATTTGACCACCGCGCCAAAGAGGCCAGTGGCTACGGCAGAGGTGAAGGGTGCTCGGGGGTCGTCCTTATGCCCCTTTCACAGGCCCAGAAGCAGGGTTTTCCAATCCGCGCTATTATCCGAAACTCGGTAGCTAATCAGGATGGAAAGACAAACGGAATCACTGTCCCAAGTGCTGCAGCGCAATCCGCTGCCATTGAGAAGGCCTACGCTCAGGTCGGCCTGGTGCCGTACGCAGACTATGTCGAGGCCCACGGGACGGGCACCGCAGTTGGCGATCCCATCGAGGCCCGGGCGATCGCCAAGGTCCTCGGTGCTGGTCGAGAGTCGGATTCGCCCCTGCCCATCGGCTCCCTCAAGGCCAATATTGGTCATACTGAGAGCGCAGCCGGCCTCACCGGTCTCATCAAGGCCGTTTTGATGCTCGAACACAACATGATTCCGCCTCAGATCAACTTCGAGAAGCCGAACCCGGAGATTGACCTGGACGCCCTCAATCTTAGAATCCCAACAACTCTCGAGTCTAGGCCGCTCAAGAGAATTTCGGTGAATAGCTTCGGCTACGGCGGAACCAACGCCCACGTCGTTGTAGACGCCGCCGCGGACGTCGCCCCGGTGAAGCCGACAAGCCAGAGCAATGGGATTCCAACCACCCATGATCATCATGTGCCTGAAGGTGCACCCAGGGCTAAAGAACGGCTCTTTGTTCTCAGCGCTGCCAGCGAGAAGTCGTGCCAAGATATGGCATCCAAAGTGGCCAAGTATCTCGAGAGCCAGGCGGATTCGGCTGACGCGGACGCATTGTTGAGCCGCCTTGCATACACCCTGAGTAGGAGGTCTGTCATGGCGAACAGGGTCGGAGTTGTTGCCTCTGACTTGAATGACCTGGTTGCGCAGCTGACCAAACTGTCCACCGAAGCCATCCCCCGTGCCGACCACCAGACGACCCCTCGCATCGGCTTCGTTTTCAGCGGCCAAGGTGCCCAGTATCCTCGAATGGGCCAGAGCCTGCTAGGTACATGGCCAACTTTCACGGCCAGTATGAAGCGGGCAGCTGCATGCATGCAGGCATGCGGAAGCTCGTGGGACCTGCTTGAGGAGCTGCTCAAGGAGCCCGCAGAGAGCCGAATGGAGGATCCGTGTATCGCACAGCCCATATCCACGGCGGTTCAAATCTCTCTCGTGGACGCCCTCAAGGATCTGGGGGTAGTTCCGAGCGCTGTGATAGGCCATTCTAGCGGCGAGATTGCTGCCGCGTACTGCGCCGAAGCCATCTCGTTCGAGGATGCCATGACGGTGGCATATCACCGTGGTCGGCTAACCGGCGATCTGAAAAAGGAAAACAAGGGCAAGGCCGGCGCCATGATAGCTGTCGGGGCATCAGCGACGACTGTTAAGCAGTCCATCGACCAGCTGGGTGCTGCTGCTTCCAGTAGGATAGCCATTGCCTGCTTCAACAGCCCTGAGAGCGTGACAGTATCTGGAGATGAAGATGTCATTAACTCCTTAAAGCAGCGACTAGACAAGCAGGATGTCTGGAATCGACTTCTCCGTACCGGGGGAGCTGCCTACCACTCGCCTCAGATGCTCCAAGTTGCTGAAAAATACCACGAGGCTCTGAAGGATGTATCCGGCGGCGTGCCTGTATCCAATATCAGCATGGCCTCCTCTGTCACGGGCGAGGATCTCGCAGACAAGCCCATCACCCGGGACTACTGGGTGCACAATCTGGTCTCGCCTGTCCGCTTCACGGACGCTTTGAAGAAGATGTGCGTGGGAGAAAGTGGCACGCGCAGGGTCGACTTGCTTCTTGAGCTGGGATCCCACTTCCAGCTGGAAGGTCCCATCAAGCAGACCGTGAGGACTTTCACCGGACAGGCGGCCAAGATTCATTATGCTGGGTCTCTAAAGCGCGGTGAGGATGCCCAGCTCCGCCTGTTGGAGATGCTCCGGTCCTTGTATTTGGAAAGACTCCCCGTCGCCTTTTGGAAGGCCAATGCTGGTTTCGAAACGGCCCCTAAACTCCTGACGGATCTTCCCCCTTATCCGTTCGACCACTCCAAGACGTACTGGCACGAGAGTCGGGTATCCAAGGCGTACAAACATCGTGCATTCCTCCCCCATGAGCTCCTGGGCAGCCTCATCCATGACAACAATCCCCAGGAGCCCAGATGGCGTTGCTTCCTCAACCTGAAAGACGTCCCCTGGCTGAGTGGCCACATTATCCAGGGGCAGACCATTTTCCCAGCCACGGCATACCTCGCCATGGTCTTTCAAGCGGCACGACAAGACACGGCTATGCGGAATCCCCAAGCAACGATTAACCGGTTTATCCTCCGGAACGTCAACATGTCACAGGCGCTGGTCATGGAGAATAACAAGCCCGACTTGGAGATCAGCCTGTCGCTTCGGCCCCAGGCAGTGTCGGCGAGGAAGTCGTCCCAGCTATGGCAAGAGTTCCGTATCTTCAGCACATCCGCCGACGACGTTTGGACCGAGCATTGCCGCGGTCTTGTACAGGTTGTCCTCAAGTCGGAGTCTGCCACCCAGGATGACGGTATTGTCCCTACCCGGGTCACGCTGCCACCGCACGCCCAACACATTCAAGCCAAGCAGTTCTACCACAGGGCAAGAGATATTGGCGTCAACTGGAGCGCGCCGTTTGACAACCTGACTGATATCAAGATCGCTTCCGGGGCGTGCATCGCAGACTCGTCGTTTGTGGCCGGTGCCGGTGCCTCTGAGACAGACTACACCATCCACCCCGGCGTCATGGACGCTGTCCTGTACCACGGTATGATGGGTGTCCTCATCTTTGATGAAAATGACAAGTCCCCCGTTGTGCCCACTTTCATCGAGAAGATGATTGTGGCCGAGCAAGACCGGGCCAAGCCGATTCAAGAGGTGACATGTCACGCCACCCGGACCGAGAGTGCGCTTACCTTTGACATTGGCATTTTTGAGAAACAGAACGAGGAAAACATGGTCCTGCAGGCCTGGGGAGTGGTTGCGACCAAGTTGCCAGACGTTTTCATCGGCGAAGGTCGCAAACGAGACTTGTGCCACGTTCCGGACTGGGTGACTTACATGCCCAAGACTACCCAGAAGCACATTGATGACATGTGCAAAAAGTCGCTCGAAGAAAGGTCCATCATCCCAGAAATCAAGGCTTTGGAGGCCCTAACTGTGAACTACGTCAAGCGTGCCCTGGCCTCCACACCGGCAGATGAGGTAGCCGAAGGATACCAGCGCAACTGGTTTGAATGGATGAAGACACTCGCCGACCAGGAGCCTGATCCAGCCTTCCTCAAAGCAGGAGAGGCAGATGGCAGCGTTTCCGCAGAGGTCGCGCGGCGTCTGGGGCCACGCTTGAGCGAGATCCTGCGAGGAACTACTCATCCCCTGGACATCCTGAACGAAGATAACCTGCTGAGCGGACTCTACCTGGAAGGTGGCAACGCTCGCTGTATTGCGCAGATGGCCGCGTACATGGGCGAGCTGGGTCGTCTGAATCCCAATATGAAGATTATCGAGGTTGGCGCCGGCACCGGATCAGCCACCTTGCCCGTCCTGCAGGCTCTGCAAGCCCCGAACAGAGTGCTGGCGTCCGGGTACGATTTCACCGATATATCACCAGGATTTTTCCCGGCCGCACGAGAGCTGCTCTCTGACTTTGAAAACATTATGCAGTATAAGATCTTGAATGTCGAGAAGACAGCCGAGGAAAACGGCTTTGAGCCCAACAGCTACGATGTCCTTATCGCTTCCAACGTTCTCCACGCTACTCCTTGTATCGACGTCGTCCTGGAAAACGTCAGGTCGCTGCTTCGCCCCGGCGGTAAGTTGATCCTGATGGAGCCTACCGAGAATCTTCCCCACTACGGTCTTGTTTTTGGCTCGCTTGCTGGTTGGTGGGCCGGGGTCGACGAGGGCCGGACCCTCTCGCCTATGCTTTCCCGCTCCGCATGGATCCAGAAGCTTTCAAAGAATGGCTTCGTCCAAAATGAAGCGGTCTTCGAGGACTACCCTGTGGCCGATGGCGGCTCCATTTCTGTCTTTGTGTCTGAAGTCCCGGTCCCGGCCCCTTCGGCAGCGCCCCTGGATGTTGAAATTGTATCGTTTTCTGGAGAGGGTCTTGACTCGAGCTTCACGGAGAAGCTTCAGAAGAAGCTCTGGGACCGCTCAGTGGAGGCCTGTGTTGCCTCCCCACCCGTCTCCGAAGACAAGATTAGCATCATTATGCCCGACGTCTGCGAGCGTGTGGCCTGGGACATGGATGGCCCGCTCTTCGACTCGATCAAGGCTCGGGTCGCTAGCTCTAAGGTCGTCGTGTTCGTAATGTGCACGGCTAAAGAGAAAGAAAAGCGACCCAGTGGTGACTGGATCTACGGGTTCTGCCGATCGATCCGCTATGAGTACGTCTCTGTACGCCTAGTTAGTCTTGAGCTCGAAGGCGGATTGGAGGCCGGCGTTGAAGCCCTGTCAACTATTTTGAACAGCCCGACGGCTGACATGAGCCTTCCCATCGACGAGGTTGAGCTTGAATACATGGAAAGGGGGGGGCAGCTCTACGTTTCCCGTGTTCGTTCGGAGCCGAGCTTTGACAGCTACGTTAGCCGGGATCTGGGCAGGTCGGTCTCCGAGGAGGCTCCATTTCTCAACGACAGAGCCATGTCGGCAGAGCTGGGCGTTCCAGGCGTGCTCGACACCCTCCGCTGGGCGGACAATCCCGAAATTTCCGGGCCAGTGGATCCCGATTGTGTTAGGCTGCAGCTTTGCGCCGCCAGCATCAACTTCAAGGATGTGCTGGTTGCCTCGGGCCAGCTGGAGGGCATCACCCAGATGCGCAATGACTGCAGCGGTATCGTGCTCGAGGTCGGAGCCAACATGACCAGCAAGTTCAAGCCCGGAGACCGCGTCTGCTCTCTGTATTCCCAGTCATTCACAAACTACCCCATGGTCCACGGCTTGTGCTGCCATGTGATACCCCAGGATATGGACTTTGCAGACGCGGCTTCGATACCCCTTGTCTGGTGCACTGTCTACTACTGCTTGGTCACTATTGCCAGGCTGCAAAAAGGGGAGAGTATCCTCATCCACTCGGCTGCCGGCGCGGTCGGACAAGCATCGATTATGCTGGCACGTCATCTCGGCGCCGAGATATTTGTTACATGCGGAAACGAGGCCAAGGTGGAACTGCTCAACACTGAGTTTAACATCCCGAGGGATCACATCTTCTCCAGCCGTACCACGGCCTTCCGCGACAAGATCCACGCCATGACCAACGGCGACGGAGTGGACGTTGTCCTTAATTCTCTCGGAGGAGAAATGTTCCGCGAGTCGTGCAACACACTGGCAGCACATGGTCGGTTCGTCGAGATTGGGCGCAAGGATCTCATGGAGAACGCCCTAATGCCCATGGAGTTCCTGCTGAATAACATCACTTTCGCCTACGTTGACTTTGCGCACATTCTTGCGACCAAGACGAGGCTGGCGTCCCAGCTTCTGGGGGATGTGATGAAGCTCTTCGCCTCCGGAGCCGTGCAGCATGTGCGACAGATCAAATATCCGATTTCGGAGATGGCAGCTGCGTTCCGTCTGATTCAAGCTGGCAAACACACGGGTAAAGTTGTCTTGACCGTGGAGCCCGAGGTTAAGGTCCAGGTAAGTGAATGGAATGAGGGCGGGGGCGAGGCGAGGTCGCTTCGAGATATCCTGGACAGAAAATACATAACATATACTGACTGGCATTTCTTTTGTAATATAGGTTGTCCCATCAAAGCCTCCATCCGTTCAGCTCAGCTCAGAGGCGACCTACATTGTGGTCGGAGGCTTAGGAGGCCTGGGCAAGCGGCTCGTCGACTGGACTGCAGAGAAAGGAGCTCGCCATATTTGCATCTTCTCCAGGACTGCTCAGCCCGACTCGGATACTCAGAGCTTCCTGGACAAACTAGCATCTATAAGAGTCAAGGTCCGTGTCGAAAAGTGCGACGTGAGTTCGGAGGAATCATTGAAGAAAGCCGTGGCCACGATTCAGGAAACCATGCCCCCGATCCGCGGATTATTCCAAGCTGCCATGGTCCTGCAAGATGTCTTGCTGGAAGACATGACGGTTGAGCAGTGGTGCAAAGTCACGGCCCCCAAGGTACAAGGCACATGGAACCTGCACAAGCTTCTGCCCGATGACATGGACTTTTTCATTATGCTGTCGTCGGTAGTATCCATGGTTGGGACTGTTGGAGCTAGCAATTACGCTTCGTCATGCGCCTTCCAGGATGGCATCGCTCGCTACCGCCGGCGGCTGGGCCTGCCGGCCTACTCGGTCAATATCGGCGCCATTGTCGAAGCCGGCTACGTCAGTGAGAATCCAGAGGTCGCTGTCAACCTCCGAAAGAACGGGCTTGGCAGCGTTGCCATTTCCGAGTTCTTATCCCATCTCGGCGACATTATTCAACACAAGACGGAATACACCCAGTCATCGCTCGGCATACTGCCCAACGGTACGGAGCGCGGCCTCGGAGAAGCGCGCTGGGCAAATGACAGGAGGCTTGCCCAGATTTTTGGATCGGAGAGTCAGGCCGGCAGCAAGGCAGTTGGTGGTGGTGCTGACAATGTTGGCTTCGTGCTCCAGGCTGCAACGACGTTCCATGAGGCCCAGGATATCGTCTGCAAGGCCATTGTCAAGCAACTGGCAACCATCCTCGCCATAGACGCCAGCGACATCATCCCTGCTCGGAGTCTGGACTCGTATGGTCTGGACTCGCTGGTCGGTGTCGAGTTGAGAAACTGGATCGGTGCCTATCTACAAGTCAACCTGCCTCTGTTGGTCATGTGGAATACTAGCAGCATCAATGAGCTGGCCGAGATTGTGACCAAGGGATCCAGACTCGTCAAGGTGAAGTCGGAGGAGGAGGAGGCGGAGGAGGAGGAGGAGGAGGTTGAGGCAGCTAAAGAAGAATGAAAAAGTGGGTGGGTATACGAAAGGTGTGTTGATTGATCTGCTATATTACTGTTATGTTAGACTACATACATTTGACTCCATGCTTGAGGTTTCCTCATGAACTTTTGCTACACTATGCTATGTTATTCTCCCAGCTGCAGACTACCCTTCGAGCGACTGCCAGCCCATACTTGCACCACGCTACATTTCTCTTTGCTCCCAAAAGACAAATGATACTTACTGCAGCGGGAGTTGCAGGGGGCTTAGAAGGCTTCTAAACCAAAAAAAGGATTCCCTAAATTTGAATGCTTCCATAGGCTCGAAGGCTTCTAAGGTGGAGAAGGATTCTCGATCTGAGAAGGATTCTGTACCCCCTGTAAGAAGGATTCTGACATTGAGAAGGATTTTTGATTTCAGAATGTTTCTTAAGCTTTTACAAGGGTTAGAATCCTTCTCAACCCCCCCCAAATTCCCACTACTAGGTAGTTTTCTTTAGCATCTCTTGGCGCGTGCTGACGCACGTATGCATGGGTAAAGCTGACAAATTCCCAAGGATTAAGCTCCCCGGCCACCCTGTCCGAGTGGAACAGCCAGTCATACACACCCCAGCACAGCCGAGAACCTCTCACTACGTAGTAGCTGACAGTGGGTCGTTTGGCGTGATCCTCCTCTTCCCATCATCGTTGAGGTACATAGCAAGTCTTTCACCCACACCTAAACGATTGATCGGGGTTGCGCACTCTAGCCCTTGACTATCCAACCACGCCTCAATAATAAATACTCTTACAGAATAATAAATATGGCACTGACAGAGAGCATTGTTGACCTGCTGCTATGCAAGCCCGTCTTTCTTGGCCTGGCAGCATGCGCTCTGCTCTTCCTCGTCGGGCGGGCACTCGAGCCAAGCGTCGACGGCCTTGAGCCTCCGATCCTTAGGCATAACATCCCTATATTTGGTCATTTCTACAGTATACTCAAGGACCAGGAAGCATTCTTCAAACGTCTCGAGTGAGTCCACATCCATACACGTCTCTCCCTGTTCCAGTGTAGGTAGCAAGAGCACTGTTGGGAACACCAGACGCAACGACGTCGTGCCATGGCCACTACTAACACATGCACTCCTCAACAGCAAAAAGTATCACATGCCCATCGCAACTATTCCCATTTTGAATAGTAAAATGTATGCGATAACGGATCCCATTCTAGTCCAGTCGGCGTATTGCAACAAGCATCTCTCCTTCACCCCTTTTGCTGTAGGCGGTGCCCAGAAGGTGGCGGGCTTCGATGATGCGTATCATCAAGTGCTCATGCAGTCAAATGTCTTGCCCGAATACTTCAAGAGCATCTATGACGGGACTACTGCCCGGCACATCCACCAGTTGAATGTCACCTCCCTCAAGCACGTTTCAAAGCACATTAATAGCATTGGAGGAGATGGCATAGATGCTGCTAATACCTACCTCTGGCTGCGCAATCTCATGACCGTCGCTACATGCGAGGCTCTGTATGGTCCTGACAATCCCATCAGGGGCGACGAACTTGTAGAGGATGTCTGGTAAGGTCATCTCACGGAGCCCCGATCTCCGATAGTGAATGGTAAGCATGTTGCTAATGACATTTCATTATAGGACGTTCGAAACGGGTCTGCCTTACCTCTTCTTCCATATTTTCAATTCCAAGACACTGCGGCGTACAAAAGAGGCAAGACGAAGGCTGCAGCTAGCTTTGGGAAAGTGGTGCACGACCATGAAGCAGGACGACGAACAGGTCTCGGCCTATATCAGAAATCGGGTCGGCATTCTTCGAGGATACGGCGTCGAAGGGCAAAAACTTGGTGACATTGAGGTTGGCCTCATTCATGTGCCAACATCAAACTCCATCCCGACCATATTCTGGTTCTTCATCCATGTCTTCACGCGGCCCAATCTGGTCGTCCAACTGCGCGCTGAAGTTGAGCCCATTGCGAGGCGTGGTCCGGGCCATGTAGTGACCATCAACGTAGACGACATCCTCGAAAGGTGCCCTCTGTTGATCAGCGCCTACCGTGAGGCCAGCCGCCTCTGCAATGGATTCACCTGTAACCGAATGGTCCTAGAGGACACGACCATCACGGACAGACATGACCGCTCGTACCTGCTCAAGAAAGGCGCCACCGTGAAGATGCCTGCAGGAGTCGCGCATGCCTCGGAGGACATATGGGGCGAAGATGCAGCGGCATTCCGAGCCGATAGATTCCTGGACAAGGGACTGACGAGCGAACAAGCCAAGTTGAGACGTGCTGCCTTTACACCATTCGGCGGAGGCGCTCATATGTGTCCTGGGCGGAATTTCGCCACGGCCGAGATTTACGGCTTCGTGGCCGCGCTGCTCCTGGGTTATAACGTGGAACCCTTGGACGGGAACTGGGATACGTACAAGCCGCCGCCCATGTCTACGTGTCCCCAAGTGACGTCTGTGTGCAAGCCAGAAGACGAGGCTTCCGTGTGCGGTACCCGCCTGACTAGACGAAATGGATGGGAGGCAGCGCAGTGGAGGTTTATCTCTGGCGAAGTCATAGAGTGAGCAACGTTTGAGGTTACTCTATGTTTGGGTTGAAGAGAAGTGGATATGCGATAGAGTGGGGGAATAACCTGCAACGATTAAGGATATATTTATTACTTAGGTAGTATCGAACCTACTAAACAATATCACGACTCACAAACGCACGAACACGCACACACTACACCGAGACCTAGGTACTACAAGTTAAAGCCTTCTAGGGGTGGTGTTTCTTGCTCACACTATTACTAAATAAGTTATACTGTGACTAATAGTGTGTATATATAATTGTATTAAGACAACATAGGTTATTTGTTGATTTGAATAGCTACTATCAAAGATAATCGCTAGGCACTTCTAAACGTCCTGTAGGTTGCCCTTCTTAGTATTCTCAGCAAATACTCTCTCTCTCTCTCTCTCTCTCAACCTATTGCTCTCCCACACATGAAGTTACAAGCCTCATTTGTATTTGTATTGCCCTCTTCCTTAAAGTTATCCCAAAACACTATGTGCCTCCGGTAGCCTGCGGCTTGAAGAAGACGGTCATCATCCCGTCTATGGTAATCTCACCTAAGACTTTCTTCACTTCTCCATGAGCAGGACACTCGCTCTCGTAGTACTTCATGTCGTCCATGCTGGCGAACTCGGTCTTGTTGACAAAGGTGTAGCCTTCAGTGCGGAGGCCTTCTTCGACAGGACCGGCAACCATACTGAGTATGTAAGGCGTACCATTCTAGTATACCCGTGAGTATTTAACTCTGAAGCAGACATAGGTGTTTTCGTGGCCTCAGTGGGATTGGGACCCCGTGGAAATGAACGTAAGTAGGGGCTAAGGTAGGGGAGTTATTATACCCTCTGATTGTCAGCAGCCATCTTCCGACACTGCTCCAAAAACTTTTTCTGATCCTCAGCCTTCGGCATCTTGAACATCGTCACACGGTGCACACGATTAGCTACGCTTACGTAGCTGCGGCTGTGTCCATTGAATCCGTTCTTCGCAACAGTGGTCAACGGTTGAAGGCCACGTGAGGAGGACCTTGTAAGCGCAAACATTGTGATTCAATATCGGTGGGATAGACTTGGTTAGTGAGAAAAGTCCGAACTTGTTCATAAACGTGAAGAAGAAGATGATAGGTAGCTGTCAAAATGGTCGATGGCGATGCTGAGTTGAACGTTCCAAGTCCTTCCAAGTGGACCATCTAGATTGGCGTGGGATGTCCCCCCAATTAGTAATGAATCAGCGGTTAGTAGATGCAATCAATGTATTACTATTCTGTTTCACTAATTGCTTCGACATCTCCGCAACCAGGCATCGCCGTTTGCTCGAACCAGCGGGGCGAACGGCTAACGCTACGAAGATGCAGGACAACTCATCCGCGAGACCCCCAAGACCCCCACCCTGTCGCTATTCTTGCTTTCGAAGGAATATGTACCCGATGTCACTATACAAGCGAGCGACTACGGCCACTAATTACTACGTTCACACTACCGTGATCCCATGTCTCTCCTACCTTCCTATTCATGGTAGGCGGATATAATATGCATTCCGTATATGCACCACACACCTGCAAGCAGTGGTAACTAGTCCATGGACTGCATGTACTCGTAAGCGCTAAAACCCTGGGTGTTATAGTATATCTGTCAGCTTACCAGGACAAGGATCACGTAACCGCTAAAACCCTGGGTGTTATATCTGTCAGGGGTGTTATATCCGTCAGGGTGGGGGAGGGGGGGGCGCAGTTTTCGATAGAAGTGGCGAGTCGTATGGGATGTAAACTGCAATGCAGTAATACCACTAGGGGATCTGCATGTACTCGTAAGCGCTAAAACCCTGGGTATTATAGTATCTGTCAGCTTACCAGGATAAGGATTACGTAACTACTAAAACCCTGGGTATTATCCGTTAGGGTGGGGGAGGGGGGGGCGCAGTTTTCGACAGAAGTAGCGAGTCGTATGGGATGTAAACTGCAATGCAGTAATACCACTAGGGGATCTGCATGTACTCGTAAGCGCTAAAACCCTGGGTATTATCCCTTCGTCTGGCAAGAAATGGTCCGTACTAGCAGGGGGGCCTGGCTCAGGGCGAAAAGGCGTGCCTTTACTTAGAAACTTATTAGTCATCTATCGCCTTTTCGCCCTGAGCCAGGCCCCCCTGCTAGTACGGACCATTTCTTGCCAGACGAAGGGATAGTATATCTATTAGCTTACCAGGACAAGGATTACGTAACCGCTAAAACCCTAGGTATTATATCTGTCAGGGGTGTTATATCCGTCAGGGTGGGGGAGGGGGGGGCGCAGTTTTCGACAGAAGTGGCGAGTCGCATGGGATGTAAACTGCAATGCAGCAACACCACGGGAAAAAGTAAAACGACCCCCCCCCCCGGTGTCGATTAGGGGTGTCGATTGGGGCCACACTAACCGAAATCAGCAAGCGGTGGTACGTGCCCGTATATATTACTTTGTACATACCAGTGTATGCAAATTAATATATATTAGTACCCAGTACGTATTGCTTTAATATACTGGAATGCGCATATTATTATTATTATTTCCAGGCAGATTTAGTTATAATGCATATGGCCATATTTAATTCCTTTTAACCTCTGACAAAATAGGAAAATATAAAGCGATACCTTGCCGGGTATTAATTAGGGGTATTAATTAGGGTATTAATTAGGGGTGTCGATTAGGGGTATCGATTAGGGGTGTCGATTAGGGGCATTGACCTTAAGAGAGCCTGAAAATTTAGCGATTGAGCACCTGGAACTTATTTGCCTCGTATGCAATAATCGCCTCGCTTACCCATGCCCCAAAACTAGAGCTCTTATATATAAACTTATATAAGTAATTATTTGGACATTATTAAAACTCTAAAATCTATTAATGCTCCTATTTAATACCTGTGGTAATAGTGGGGAAAGGCCTTGGGGGGCCGTATGCGATTCTAAGGCTGAATCGGTTCCTTAGTAATAAACTCGGGAATGCCAAGCGCTAAGCCAAAAAAAGATTCTGCCATCGACACCCCCAATCGACATCGGGGGGGGGGGGGGGGGGTCGTTTTACTTTTTCCCAACACCACTAGGGGATCCACATGATCCTTCGCTTCGAGTCTACACTCCTCCAACATGCGAAACTGGGATGGATGTGGAAGAAAGAGTCGGAGAATCTAATGTCTGATGAATAGTTTGCTCGCTCTATTTCAGTACTGTTGCTGTCGAGCTCCTTGAAGTTTGAGGCTTGCGACGAGACATCCAACTATTGACTTCACCAATGTCCGCCACAAACTCATCTAGGCACTTTCAAGTGCTCCTGCGTCGTGTCAGGAAGTCTGCTTTGGCATTTCCATCAATTTCTTATAAGCTTCAAGCGGTACCATGCTGCAGCACCCGACAAGCTCCCGCTGCAGCAGCCTTCAGCACTTCTGCCATAACCCGCAACCTAGAGCAATCGCCGCTGGGCAATGCCAGTGAGCCCAGTGCTCTTCTTCATCCGACTCTAAAGACAGCGCCTCTTAACGTTGTGGCGGCCAAGGGTACAACTGTGACGTTCTCCAATGGCAAAAAGATGGAGGATACGACTTGTGGTGCAGCAGTAGCCTGCATTGGCTACGATAATGAGAGGGTCAAAACTTCCATGATTAAGCAAATGGATAATTTTTCTTATTCAAATTCAATGTTTTATGGGCATCAAATTGGCGAAGAACTGGCTGCGGAGCTCATCAGGGGGACTAACGGGGAGATGTCAAAGGTGTACCTGATGTGCTCTGGTACGTTATCACATTTCTTGTTCCAAGTCAGACGTGACGTCTAACAAAGTCTTAGGAGCTGAAGCCATGGAGGCAGCCATGAAGATGGCAAGACAGTATTACATGGAGCTGAACCCAAAACAGCCCCAGCGTACGAACTTCATTGCGCGCGAAGGGTCTTTCCACGGCGCAACTCTTGGGTCGCTTTCGATGAGTGGTCATGTCGGACGGCGGAAACTCTTTGAGGGCATGCTGTTCGACAACGTTCACCGTGTCTCGGCCGCCAACGAGTATCGGGGAAAGGCTGATGGCCAGACAACGGAGGATTACGTCCAGCAATTGGCAGATGAGCTGGATCGAAAGTTCCAGGAGATTGGACCTGATACTGTTTGTGCATTTGTTAGTGAGCCTGTTGTTGGGGCGGTAAGTATATTCATTGTCCGGATGTTCATGTTCTTGGCTGATTTCGTTGCATGAAAGACCCTTGGCACAGTCCCTGCGCCTGCTGGCTATTTCAAAGCTATGAAGAAAGTATGCGACAAGTACGGGGCGCTCCTCATTTTGGACGGTCAGTACCTACTGATAAGATTTGAGCCCCTATTCAAGATGACTGATCATGAACAGAGGTCATGTGCGGGATGGGTCGTTGTGGATCACTTCATGAGTGGGAGCAAGAGGGCGTCGTCCCAGATATTCAGACCGTTGCCAAAGGTCTAGCAGGTGGATTCGCACCAATGGCTGGCATGTTTATCAACCATCGTGTGTCAGATGCGTTGATAGCTGGAACTGGGTAAGTCGCGATGGTCTGTATATCCTGAACTCTCAAAACTAACGTCCGCACTAGCGTTTTCGCACACGCACATACTTATCAAGGACACCCCGTGGGATGTGCTGCTGCACTAGAAGTTCAGCGAATCATAAGAGAAGATAACCTCGTCGAGAATGTTCGCGAGAACGGCGAATATCTGGGCAAGCTTCTGCATGAGCAACTGGACGGCCACCCCTACGTCGGTAACGTTAGAGGCAGAGGCTTCTTCTGGTCGGTGAGTTGACCACCCAGTCAGAAAACTGTTGCAGGTTTGGAAGATGTAAGCTGACACATATGAAGCTGGAATTCGTGGCCTGCAAGAAGACGAAAGAGCCGTTCCCGCCATCAGCAGGAATCGCGAAGAAAGTTCATTTGGCAGCGCTCAACGATGTAGGCATCAGCTTCTACCCGGGAATAGGTACCAAGGACGGTGTGACTGGAGATCACGCGTGGATAGCACCTGCTTACACGAGCACAAAGCATGACATTGAGAGGATAGTTTCCAAGGTCAAAGAGTCGGTAATCCTAGCCCTCGGGTAGATTTACAGGTGAGAAATTCGAAGCTCCATAGGTCCAAGCATGAACAAAGGCAACGCAACCTCCCTCTCCTAAATCCCTCTAATCCACACACACTGAATCTTCGCAAAACTTCATTGATGCGTTCCTTATTCGCCGGCGACGACTGCAAGCCGATGGTCATTACTTCTTCTTTAAGATGTCTTAGCTAAACTATAAAAGCCAATAATAAAACTACCAAATTTAGCCGTATCAGAAAATAAAAAATACTGATTGGATTAATAACCATTGCTTTTTTCAAAAGTAATCCCTTAGCTTTTCTTGGATAGCGAAATGCCATCGTTGTTGTGGTATAAAGTTATCGTCTTTTACGTGAAATTGGTGTGATTTCAATGGTTTTGGAGTGGAGGGTCATCCATACTGGTAGCCGCCTGCATGTGTAAGGACACCTCTGGTACGGACGTTTGATCTACAATAGTAGCCAGACAGTCCTGCCATTGAATGGTTGGTAAAAGGGAGGCGATCGTTCCACCAAGGTACCAGGTATCCTAACCAAGCCCAACGTGATAATCATGTATAACGAGTGATCTGAACGTATCTAGGTCCGGGACTTCTGCGCCGCACCGCTGTAAGCACGAGTTACGATAAGAAAGGGGGTGGATGGGGGATTCGGCCCAAGCCACACTGAGGTGAGCGACAGGCCAGCTTTCGATATGTGTGCCTCTGGCATGTTATTCTTCACCCTTGGAGCTATAGAGGGTTCGGAACGGCTGTGCCAGTGGTTCTGGACAATTGTTGGCCAGCATACGCTGAGTGAGATGCACTGCCAATAGGAATGAGACACGGACATTTCAATTTTCAATCTACGTGTTGCCTGACCATCAAGACGTGCATTTCTTCAGAGGAGGTCATGCCTTGGCACGGAAGAAGGCTGCTCAGTAGCTGCTGTATGCCGCTGCTCCTTCTGCCAGCATGCACATTACAATACGCACTAGAAGTAGTCCCCCAAGCCACGAAATATCGCGCTCTTCATCACCATGATGGGGGGGCCCAGTGGGGCACCATCCAACGTTCAACGTTCTTCAGGCAATTCCGTGCTCTTGGCAAGGGCAAACGAAGATTGGACCCAGGTGTGCGCACCCTTCTGCGAGCATCGAAACGTTGGGTGATAGGGCGGCTCGGTGGCTTGTTTCTGTCGCATCGGAATTGAACCCTAAAAGCTGGTCCTCCCATAGCAATACAGTGCTCGTACTTGGCAATATCGGCAGTAAATCCATCGTCTGGCTTCCCCTCGAGTCGCAGTAATAGAATATTCTAGCGCTGACCCTGGCTCGTCAGACGGTGGGATGGGGCTGTGGCGGCACTGGAAAGAAGACAGCACAGCAAAAAAGTGCAAAACCCAACACAGATCCCAGTCCGCAATTTCGCGATGTCGGGCTTTAGTGAGTGCGGCGTATTAGTGCCAAATGGGAAGCTTCCAGGTTGATTACCATCGCTGAGGATACACTTCGGTGTCAAATGTTTGAATCCCAAATCTGTATTTTGCAGCCCCACTACTCATAATTAGCCAATCCGGTTCGTTCTGGACTGCTACTTGGCTCTATGATTGGCTAACAAACTGTTAGCGCTAGTGGTGGGGAAGCAAAATACAAATTTGGGATTCAAACATTTGACACCGAAGTGTACTTCCCTTCGGCCGCCCACGCCCGTGTCCCTTTAGACAACGTTCCGGACGCCCTGTTGATTTTGTGCCAAGTAGGTGTTACTTTTCCTAAGAGAGAATCTCTGCTCAGACTCATAGGATATTCACAATTCTATTAAATTGCCCGCTGTAACAAGCTCCTACGATATATGGTGCTGGCCCCTTGGGGCTAGAGATTTTCTCCGCAATTAGTTAACCAATCACTTCATTGTTAGGTTTCAAGTTAGTCAACTCATCTTTGGAGAAAGAAGCAGCTTTCTCATCAAAGTGTGGTTGGAATTCGGGAAGACGGAATCGATCACAAAACTGATCCACTGATAACCTGGCCACGAGAGTGGACTGCGACAGATTTAACACCGACCGAACTGATTGACATCTAACTTCTCGACAACTTACAAGGTAACGTACGAAAATTATCAGCAGTAAGGGACTCCGTCCCCTGATTCACCCCCCTAACTTGTTTGAAGGACTTTACTTGTGGAACATTGCAATGGATAGCATGATGTCTTAATTAGTTGAATGTGGAGAACTGGGCACTATATAGGTTCACTGGTAGTATGCCAGTCTGGATATTAATCTTACTGCTCCGAGTGGCTGGGCTTTACAACACATGCATTAAAAAGTAACCAGATTTGACTATTTAAATAAGCTTAATCTTAATCTGGCTTCTTCTTAATTTGACTTCCTTAATTTGACCTCCCTTGATTTGGCTCGAAGGCCCCTGTTGATTTTGTGTTGTCTGTTTAGTTAGAGAGCCACTGAGATAGACTATTCACAGTGGTAAACTTATGGTGACCTAACATATTGCCCAGTCTACATTTGCAGCTAATCTAAGGTACATTTAGAAGTGACTAGTCGATGAATTGTTGAGGAGTGACTAGTCGATAGAGAGTGGCCAGTGAATGAGTAGTGACCAGCCGATAGGGAGTGACCAGTCGATGAGCTGTGACTAGTCGATGGCAACTGGACGATGGGAAGTGACTAGTCTATGAGCTGGTCGATGGGGAGGGACCAGTCGATGAGCTGTGACTGGTCGATGGGGAGGGACTAGTCGATGAACTGTGACTGGTCGATGGGGAGTGACTAGTCGATGAACTGTGACTGGTCGATGGGGAGTGACTGGTCAATGAGGAGTGACTAGTCGATGAGCTGTGACTGGTCGATGGGGAGTGACCAGTCGATAGGAATTGCCCGGTCGATGAGCTGTGACTGGTCGATGGGGAGTGACTAGTCAGTATTATTGAGTAGTGCCTGGTCGATGAGGAGTGACTAGTCGGCATCGATGAGTTATGCCTGGTCGACAAGGTGACTAGTCAGCATGAATGAGTAGTGCCTGGTCGATGAGTTATGCCTAGTCAACAAGTGGTGCGTGGTTCTATAATTGCTTAATTTGGTGGTCTACGACCAGTCACTACGTAATACAAAGAGGCTTAATTAATAAGGCCAAATTAAGGAGGCTTATTTAGAGTGACCAATTTAGACCCCATAATCACTAATTCAGGTACCCATACAGCACTCCGACCACTGTAATATTAGCGTAAATAGAGGGCTATTGCTCACCATAGAAAGACAAGCAATTTTACGCCTAAAACCCACATTTATTACCACATAAACCTCTAAATTATACTGTTTGACCAGAATGACTACCCAAGAGGGGTATTGGTGACGGATCCAGGAATTGTTAAATCCAGAAACGTTGCAGTTTCTCAAAAATTGGCCAACTACGTCCGCAACGGAGGAACACTCGTTCTAGGGGGCTTATTCAGCGCGCAAATACGTCCCAACGACTTGGGAAGGTACATGAGAGAGAAGTGGGATCTCCCATGGGAAGCTGGTTCTTATTATCGCACCACTATATTTCTCAATCGAGCAGTGGTCAATCGACCAACAAGTGGGCTTCTGTCCTCATACAGTCACAAGGCGGTATTTCTGAAGCATGTGGACCCCAACATGGCATGGTATGTTGCAACGGATCGTTCAGTTATTGAATCTCTCGTTCCCCTACCTGGGCCCGGAATTGAGCTTTTGGAAACTTCAACCGCATTTGCTAGGTTGGGAAACGGCTGGATTGGATACGTTGGCGATGTAAATGGCGAAGAAGGAACTACTGCTGTCGTCCTGGAGATGTTGGGTTTAACTTCATCATACTTGACAAGCACTGAAGCACAGTCATATTGTTATTGTACCTCTGATCATTCGATAGCGATTGAATCCAGATGATGGGAGATGATGGGAGATGAAGGTGTATTTGAAATTGCACAAGTTGTGATATGCAATCCACCCATCAGATCGCAGACAGCATCAAAAGGATATTTCGAGCCATCTCACTTCGAATGCAAAATCATGCAACCTATTCAGGATTCTCCAATTTTGACTTACAAGGTCAAAAGGCAGCGCAGCATCAATATTGCTTTATAATCTGAGTAGACCAATGATCTCTGGGTTTGTATTCAAAATGAGATGGATTGACACTGTAGCCTCCTTGAATTTGAACAAAGTGATTCCCTTGACCAACCGTTCCCTCCTCTGACATCACGAGACGCTAGGAGTTGACTTTTGTTTCTTGGATGGTGGCCATGATTCGAGATTAACAGAGTTACAAGAAATATTGACTGCTCATGTGGCTACTTGTAGAGAAAGTGGTTTCATAAATAACTATGACATAATTCTACAAGCTCAGAGTATAGCCATGAACCTACTATGCTAGTGAGGACTCAAGAGTGACATTTGCTATACTCGAAGACTGATCCCATGAACTGATTGTACATGGTTTTTAAAATGTGCAAGGTGTTTGAGAACAAGCCCCTGAGATTTGCATGTTGTATGGCAGCACTCTATCCTAGCCTTTGGATCATGTCCTTTGAGGTGTATTCGCTCAACGTGATCCATCATCTTCGCTGGCCGACAAAAGGAACCTACCCGCTGTTCATAGCTCTTCGATTCGTCTCCAATGCAGAAGATGCACTGGCTCTTACCACAAACGAGTGGGATGACAGGAGCCAGAGGACCAACCTCTGGGGACTCTTCTTTAAACATTGTGCGTGGTGGAAGCCGAGGCTGGAGTTGGTATCGTGGGGCTACCTCCTGACAGTCACAGAGAGCCTGCATAAGCTCAGCAGCTTGAATCCGGCGGTGGATGGCGTCTTGGGCAGAGATTTTTGTGATGTGAGTACACATCAGCTCAGCAAGCTGCATCCTTTCAGGGATCTGATGCTGAATTACTGGCTCTACATATGATTCCTCCTCTTGTCCACCATTCTGCCTCTCAATATCTTCAGTTGGGCGGCGGCGAAAGTAATCCGCTCGGTATTCTTCGGATATGATCTTTCGCCATCGGCTTCGAGCGCTACCAATTGCAGCTGTCAGTTGCCGAACTTCTGCCTCAACATCTCTTCCTTGAATTCGGTATATCCCAACTTTCAACTGCTCTCGCTGCTGCTCAAGGGCAGTAATGTGGTGATCAGGCGGGAATGCAGCTAGGACGTCGTCTGGGACATGAACTGGGGCGCGGGGGTCGCGCATAAGGCTCATGTGTGTGAGCATGCGAAGCACGCCATCTGCTGAGGGACGCTCAAGGACCGCAGATTGGACATCAAACCTTACTCGCTCGTTGATGTAAGCTCCATTGAACACTGCTGACTTCGCATTGTGTCGCATAACCTGATCCCGAACAGCTTCTGTGGCAGTAGCTAGACACAGAACAACGTCCATGTTAGCAAGCTGATCTCCTCAAGTAATCACAGGCAACTTACAATCAACAACATTAGCTGTGCCACGCCGGAAGCAATAGCTAGTCAGCGTCTCCTTGAGGCCTGCTGCACGCCCAAGGCGAATGAGGCTGTCCCTTAATTGGTGGTATGTGAGGGCTGTTTGCTCATCGCGACGGAATATAGGTGTCTTAAGCTTGGTCTACTTCCAGTTGAGTGGCGTGCACAAGACTAGACCCCATACCTTATGCTCGAATACCCGCTGTGGAGTTGACAGGCTCGGTGCTTCAAAGGCATTATCGGCAAGGGCAAGTGATATGAGGTGTGTGATAGGACAGCAGATTGGTTCGTCGACTTCAGTGAAGAAGAATACAGTACTGCAAGTCTTTAGTTAGTTGATTGCAGGAACACATGTTCACCTCATCATAAACTCACGGCTTTGGGCGCTTCTTGTGTCCTTTGTGATGAGCCAAAGTGACCTCCATTGCAAGTACATCCCGCTCTCCACTATTAGGACTGCGTACGATAAGTAGACGCACATCCTCGTAGCAGAGTGCGTTGAAGCGTCTGGCATCCTTTTCAACACCACCTTCACTAATGCCTGTAAGGTTGTTCTCATCACGCCCATCAACATCCTTATTTCTTCCGGTACCAAAATTGTCATCACTCTTATCAGCAGCTAGGATATTGTCATCAACAGCTTCGTGATCTTTGTCCCCAAGCCTGGCTCCCTCTTTTCTCTTCTTTGTTGCATCAACAAGCTCAGCAGGCCGGCATCCAGTGCCAGAGAGGAGGAGGAGGATGAATGCGAACTGCACCCGGTGCCGCTCGGTGGGGAAGGTAGAAGTATCACGAGCCCAATGGAAATGAAGTAGGAGGAGCAGATCATCCACGCCTAGGACAGGCTTCGATTTGACTGTATTATCTAGCCCAAACGTGTCCAAGTACTACGAAACGTTAGATCTAGCAAGCAGGAATGACTAAGGAGCAGCATACCTTCAGGGCTTCTTTCCTATCATTACTATCCAGTAGGTGACCATTCTCTTGGTTGAATAACATACCAAACTGTGCTAGGTATTGCTGCATCGCACCCCTTTTGTTCACTCGATCGTTATCGTAAATGTGGCGTAGGAATCCCAGTACAGTTCCCCGAGAACAGTCCTGGATCACAATGCGCCAGTTCGTCCCAAGCTGATCATTGCAAAAGCTAGTACAGTTAGCATTTGCACCATATTCGAAACACTTTGATCAGAAGAAATGGTCTTCTTACCGTATAAATTTGCCCCGAATAATGCTAACATTGTCCTTAGTGGCATCAGAATAGTCATTCTGAATCACAGCCTTCACCTTATCATGCTCCTTAATGAGGTTTTGATAGTACTCAGGCGGCCTCTTGTTCTGTGGTTTACGTCGGCGGCGTTCAACACGACTATGGAGGCGCTGCAGGTCCTGCACTGAGGTTTTTGGCAGTTGTGAGAGGACAGGTGTGCACTGTCTAGGGGCCATAAGGATAATGAGGTTGCTTTGCTGAGGGAGGGACGAGTTGCAGAGAAGAGGTGGGAGGGGATATAGATATGTACGATAGGAAGATGGCTTAAAATGATACAAGAGGCACCGCCAGGATGGCAGACGGAGTGGAGAAGGTCCTCCATTTTCTGAGGACCAGAAAGGTTCCAAAATAGGCACATTGTTAGGATGTAGAAATACAGGAACCCGTTTTTCTGGTTCTTGTAAGTTCTCGTCCCAATGATTAGCCGATGTTGGCACGTGATGCTGTTTGGGGAGGTTCGACGCTGCGTAAAACAGCGACCAAACCCGCCGAAAACGACAGCCCCAACACCACGATCTCGCCTTTTGTTATAAAGAATATTCCTGGGGTTGATCAGCTCGAGGAGATTAAGCAGATCTATGTGACGAAGGCTCCACAGATTTCTCGGGATAAGGAGGCTTGGCAAAGTAAGTCGAGATCCTTGCAACTTGCCGTTCGTTAACTGAGAGTGCCAGAACTACAAGCTGCGGTTGAGGCATCGGGAATTACTAGAGGCTGGATAGAAGCAACAAATCACGAGCTAAAACTGATCCAAGACGAGAAAGCAGACGAGGATATGGAAGATGAAGAAGCCACAGCCTTTATCTAAGAAGTCTATACACGCGTTACACCTACTATGGAAAAGATCTTAAGCGGTGATAATAATAATAAGCTCTATATGGAAATTCTAGATGCAAAAAATTCTATATTAAGCTAGTAACAGAGCCATCCCGATAAAGAGGACATGGTCGACTTAATCGATATAAAGAGAATTGAGGATATTGTGGTCAAGGCCCATTTCCAGACTACAAAGTTTGAAAAAGATCCTACTAACGCAAGAGCGAAAGAACAGTTTCTTAGTAGAGTACAGGAACTTGCTGAGCTGGTCGAGGCGAGCTCTTATCCCAGTACTTGGATATTGAAGCCACTGCCTGAAGCGCCAAAGCCCCTACTATCTGGAGGAAATGGCACTGGACCTACGGGTACTACTGGCACTGCTCCTACAGGTACTGCTCCTATAGGTACTGCTCCCGCCAGTGTTATAGCTAGTAGTATTACAGATAACGGTACAGGTAGAACCGATATTAGTACGGACCCTTATAAATTAAATAAACTAAATACGGGAAAACCGGGCTTTACTAAAGACGGGAAGATAATTATGGGACATAAGTTCAAGTATTTCAGAAAGGGCAATAAAAAAGGCCAGGTATATAGCGGGTAACTCTTTATTATAATTAGACCGCAAGCCTGCCCTTATATTAAGGTCCTTCCCCGTAAAGACTTTACTAGGAATATAGTTAACGCATATCTAAACTATAATTATATAATAGAGGTTAGCGGAAGGACTAAGAAAGATAAATTTGTCAAGATCCTCTATACCATAGCCGAATCCTATAGACCGGAGCCCCTAAAAGAACCTGTAATCTATGCCTTGTGCGAGCGGAAAGAAGGAAATCCTATCTGGACATGGTATATAGACCTTTAAGATTAGGTAGAAAGTAAAAGGGCCACAGATAACTTGCTTCGGAAATACATGGAATGAGAAAAGAACGAGAGGGCCCAGTTCTATATAGCCTATAGTATTAAGGAAGAACCAGAAAGCCGAGATCGAGTAGAGGATAAGCGTACTCGCGTCTATAGGGAAAAGGCTAATATACCTGCGACTAAAGACAGGACCTTCCTATTTGTTAGAGCATTAGTCTCGCAAATAATAAAGGCCAAAGCGCAACCGATAATCAAGGTCAAAGGGCAGCCTGTAATTACGGTAGAAACGTAAGGCGGATTTGATCCGACTAGCTTTCTTTCTTTTACTACTTAGTATAAAAAGAAGCATAATCTGAAGCTAGGTGCAGATCCTATAGAGCTAATAAAGTTAATAGCTATATTCAAAACTATTTAAGATATGCTTAGCTTATAGCCATTATTCTTTCCTTTTAATTAGTTCTGCTTTTTAGGTCTGGGAGCTTTCCTTACTCGATATATGTTCCCTAGTACTTGCTTACTATCCTCTTTTTATTAATTTACTTTTCCTTCTATATTTATTCGGGTCTATTATTTTGTAATCTAATTAGCTTTATACAAGATTATACTAGAGCATTTTAGACTTAGTACTAATAGAACTCTAACTATTTCTGATTTTGACCCTATATATAATAGGACATGGTATAATAAGTATTATAGGAAGGTTCCCAAAGAGTTCTAAATATAAAATAGTAGAGCTATTATTATTAGCAAAAATCTCTATATCCTGTTTTTATATTCTTATCTTATAGGCAAGATTATATATATAACTAATGAGAAGTTATACTATATTTTATATAAGTAGTCAAAAATGGCTCCCTAGAGGCTAGTAATCTAACAAATACTAGTAACTGGCTAATTATCTCTAGGGATTTAAAATAGCCCTCTAGAAATTAATAATAGTTCCAGGTTAGCTCATTACTAATTCTTCTTCTCTTATTACTATAACCTTTATTATTTCATATATCCTAACTTAATATCTTAAGGAAGTATTATTATTATTTATACTACTATTCTAATACTTTTATATAATTTCCTCTAATATTATTATCTATATATATCCTACTATAGGGAAATAAGTAGTGACTTGCCAAAGATTTGAAAGTTATAGAACTTATAGTAAAGGAGTTAAGCTAGAAAGAAATCTCAGACGAATTACCTAGAAAAAGTAAGATTAGTTATACTTAATATTATTATAAATATTTATTAAAGAGAATCCAAATACCGGAAATAGACAAGATTATAAGACTATATAATTAGTATAATAGCAGGATTAAGGCAATAGCCAGGACTTAAAGATTCAAGAATCTTATATATTAAAATACTAAACTAAAGAGAAAAAGAAAGAAAGAAAGAAAGAAAGGAAATAAAAGAAGGGAAATACTAGCTAAAACTACTAAAATACTAGCTAGCTAGATAAAACCAGTTATATAATAGCTACCCTCTTTTAGCCCCTAGCTAGTACTATTATATTACTTTTCCGGAAACCAAATCTAAATACCGTTATTTAGGTATATAAAGGAAATAGGGTTTTTAATAAAAACCCCTAAAACGGCTAGCTTTTAATAGTTACTATCTAACTAATAGCTACCTCTCTCTTTACCTAAGGCTTTAGAACTAGCCTTAGACCCAAAATCGTCTATAGAACCGTCTATAGAACCCAAATTATCTATAAAGTCTAAATTATCTATAAAGTTTAAATTATTTCCAGAATTATTTATAGAACCAAGCTTATCTAGAAAATTATCTATAGAACTATTTATAGAGCCAGAATTATCTATAGAGTCCAAATCGTCTATAGAACCGGAACTAGCCTCTATATCCGATTCAAATTCGGCTCTAGAGCTAGCTTTACTAGGATCTTATTAGCTCTCGGTCTCCTTAGATAATAAATTATTAGTAAGAAAATATTATAAATAAACTTTTTCTAGAATAGAATTATCTAAATTATCTAAATTAGAAAAGTAATATTATATAAGAGGCGGCTATATAAGAGGCAAACGAGAAAGAAATAAATAAGAGAAAAGTAAATAAGAAAGAAATAAATAAGAAAAAAACAAATAATAATAAAAAGCAAATATAAGATAGTTATTTCTATTTTAAATTAATAAACTAGAAAAAAATTTCTGGATTACTTTTCTTTTAAGTTAGTAACCTAAAACTAACTATTATATTTCTTCTATTTTAAATTAGTAATCCGGAACCGACTATTATATTTCTTATTTCAAATCAGGAAACTACTAATTCTTAGAAAAGAATACTAGTTCTTTTACTCTTATTAATATTAAGAAAGATATACTATTTATTTTAGTTAAGGGCCAGATTCCGAGATTAACTAGATTATAGAGAACAGAAATCTTTCTTCTTTTAAGTCGGCAGAAAACTAACTATTAGATTATTATCTATTCTAGTTAAGGGCCAAACTCCGAGATTAACTAGATTATAGAGAATAAGAGATATTATCTATTCTAGTTAAGGGCCAGGCTCTAAGATTAACTAGATCTTAGAAAATATATCTTTCTTCTTTAAGTTCAAAAGAATTACTAAATATTAGAAGCGGAATTCTGTCTTTATTCCCTAAAGATAAGTACGAGTCTTTTACTAATAGTATTATATTACCTTTATAAGCCGAGTTAAGTAAGCTTAGTATTATATAATAGTAGAATTAAGGTAATAGCTAGGACTTAAAAATCTAAGAATCTCATATTAAAAATACTAAGCTAAAAAAAAAAAAAAGAATAAAAAAAAAATTACTAGCTAAAACTACTAAAATGCTAGCTAGCTAGATAAAACTAGTTATATAATAGCTATTTTTTTTAGCCTCTAGCTAGTATTATTATAATTAGTATAATTTATTTCTTTCTTTATTATTTAAATATTACTAATACTTCTTACTAGAAATAAAGCCCGGATATAAAAGCCTACTACTAAGAAAATAGTACTTCCTTAGTAAGAAATAGAGAAAATATATTTATAATTTTAGAAAAAACAAGTAGCTATAAAAAAAAGTATAAAAAAAGGCAGAAAAAAAGCTATTTAGCTAAAAAGCTTCTAAAGAAAATATATTATATTCTAAATATAATTACTTTAAAATATAATCTTTTAAACTAATATATTTATAATTATAGTTTACTAAATCTAAAAATAGTTTTGGGTAGTAAATGAAATAATTCTATAGGTAATATAGGTATCTTTTTCCTTTTATAATAAAATAGCAAATTAATTTCTAATTAATTCTTATATCTTTTTAACTAGTTAATATAATAGTTAAAGCTATTTATACTATTATTATTATAAATTTGTTTCCGGGATTTGCCTGTCTAAATAACGGGAATAGCTAGATAAAATATATAACTAGATAATAAATATAGCTAGACAAAATATATAACTAGTTAATATATATAACTAGATAAAATATATAATTAGATAATAAGTATAGCTAAACGAAATATATAGCTAGTTAATATATATAGCTAGATGAAATATATAACTAAATGAAATTTAT